AATTGGAGTATATACGTTTACAGCTCAACATTTCAAATTTTGATAACATATTAAAAATTTGAACTCAAGTATATTTTCCCCTTAGTAATTATGAAACATAATTTTGCAAACTTCAGTAGCAAAAAGGTTTTCTAAACATATACATCTTATATCACAATTTCACATCAAAATATCACATTTGTAACTATTTGGGAAAATAAACATTATTCTTATTCTTATTCTTCTTATAACAAAACTAATTAATTGGTATATCAACACTGATTGCAAGTCCTCTTCTCGATTTAAAGTGATTCTGATATTTTGATTATACTTTCATTATATTTTGACTCTATTCCAGTGATATGAAACTAGCCTAGGCTGTTTCTGAATAAAGGTACTTTTTGGCATAACCTTTAGAATAGTATCATTTACATTGTTGTAATTACTAACAATGAATTATTTCGATAAGTTTAAGGGATTAATCCCCTAAAAGATATTATGTTTATTCTTATTTAATAATCTGTTTCTAATTTTCAAATTATTAATTAAATCGGGGCCAAACCTAAAGCAATGCGATTCATTTTTAATACATTTAGAAATTATTCTATTTTTAACAAATGTGTTGCTTAACAATTACCATAGGGTGTAAGGTAAGTTTACTGATGTTGATAAGTATAACTACCATTTAATGCAACAGAAAAAATGTATACTTTACGCATTATCGTTGGTTATGAATTAAGTATAAAAGAATCATTTTTTAAAGTCAATCTTTGCTCGCATTATTTAGTTGTCTTAGAAGTTCATACACATCTAAATCTACTGATTGATATTCCACCACAGCGTCTGCAATTTTCTTCTGTGGAAAAGCTGTTGTCCAAGCGACAATAATAATGAACGAGCGGCCGACCCTGAGAACAATGGACTGAGGAGGACGGGCAGCAGGTAGGCTGCCGAGCAGCACAGCCCTACTAGGGGTAGCGTTTCAGGGGGGGACGATTCCGGGGTGTACATAGGGGATGCCTTGCCGGGGAAGACCTTTCCGTTTCTACTTGTTTGAATTATAATTAATAACATAATTAGTTCATATCAACTAGATTTTGATAGATTACTTGTCAAGCCTTGGGGGGGAACGATTCCGGTCGCGGACATAGATTTTATACCAGCTGGTTGTCTGGTTTCGTGACGTCACGTTTAGCCTGGGGGGTGATGTTTCCGGGGGCGACCATTCCGGCGACCCGCAGCACTGGCTGTAAATCAGCTGGTCAGCTGTTGTACTGTTGTATTTGTCACTTCGCATTAAATGTTATGTTAAAAGTTCACTTCTGTGTAAAAATAGGTTATGTTTCTTCACCAATTTATTTGTTTTATGGTAACTGTAGGAAAAGTATAATGTGCAACTCGAGTGAGTCAATTGCTCACTTTTCTCACTAGTTGCACAAATAACTATTCTATGATATTATGGATCATACCAAAAAATTGTATTATTACTATCATGACTCTGCAGTTTATTATTATATTGTTATAGGTATTAACAAATGTTACATGACATTGTTCTTGATAGAAATGTATTAGTTAAACTTATTAATTATCAATTACATAACTAGTGTAATAAAAAAGAACCTATATGTTACAACAAGTTAGTATTTCAATTCACAAACGCCTGCCATTTTTAAATTACCAAAGGTTGATATATAACCAAATCAAATAATAAGGATTTGATATAATTACTACAGGTTAGTGCTGGCTGAGACAAGGGCACTATTATAGTTGCTTGAAATGTCAAGTTAAAAACACAATTGGCTTTTAAGTTGTTGAGTTTTGAGTTGTGACGAAGTTATAAACACACAGACATACGGACGACTGGGTGAGCAGGTGCGGTATTTAACACAGCACATGACATAATCACATTACATAATGCATATTTTTAGAATTAACAATGAATGTTGGTTTTAACTTATTTTGATTGAGAATATCTACTGTTTTGTTTTAATCGAAAATGCGTTTCGTATTCAAATAAATATACGCCACGCAGCTTCAGTTGAACCAACAACAGCTGTTTAAGAATAAGAATCAATTTCATCATAACCCAGAACAGCTGTTTTCTTTTCAGAATTTTAGTGTTGCACAATCATATCCCTTGTGTACACAATGTACAAATCTTAACTTTGCAAGTTTACATTTCTTTACATCAAAACAGATGGCCATGATACAAAGTTGTTTACATCCATACGAAAATGGGGTTAAATGAAGTGGGTGATGTTTCAGTGAAATCAAGTAAATATTATACCGTAAGTATGTTATTTGTATAAAATGAAAAGAAAATTACTTAGCCTACGTTAGATTTTGAGGGAATTCGAGTAAAGTATTGTAATGTTAGCCTATTTGTTTAATATGTAAAGAAGAAAATTAGTTAAGTTAGATTTTGTGTTTTTATAGTATGTTTCATTAGTATTTGTAATTGTTCTAAGATACCTCGAAGAGATCGCGCACGCGATGAAAATTGGCCTCGCAATAGCAATGCAAATAATAGGGACATGATGAGAAATAATCGTTTTTAACCTCATCAACTATATATCAAATATCACGGATTTTGAAGTCACGAAGTGATGCAGGTTGCTATTGCTAGTTTTATTAAGTTATAAATCGGCGAAGGTATTATATCTTACATCACAGAGAACAGACCATCTGTGGTTGCAATAAAAATTCATACCGTTTATAAATGTGTGGAACCATTTTAACTCAGTTAGGGTAACTTTGTTGCACTTCATTAATGACCTTTGCAGGTAAACAAGTCACCTAAATTCATTTAAAACGAAATTGAATGCGTTGAGCTGCTTCTTGGGCCAAAAACGTACATTGTCACATTAAAATGATATCAACCACTGTGTTCCTCCAATGTTGATTTTGGAACCGTAGAACATTATTTTTACAAACTAAAAAGGCCATGTTCTTTATTAATAGTATAAAATTACTGAAATACTATAATTTAATGAAATACACCAATCGAAACGCAAACTACTTACGGTTTCTCTTTGACCACGCATCCTTTCGTTTTAAACAACATTTGAGAGAGGCTCAATTACAGATCAATTACACTAGGAAACTCGTCACTTTGGAGACCTCCAGTTTCACATTATAACACATAGAAATCCACACGTGCGTTAACAGAAACAGAACTTAAAGAACCCCAAACCTAACCTCCAAAGTGTTAGGCTAGAGTAGAGGATAAGGAAAAGGAAGGATTAGGATTAGAGGAATGTCTGCTATCACTAATGTAACTACACAACTGCAATCATGTTTGTTATGCGATGGGAGGGGGAAGTCACGTGACCTAATGACGTAAGCAAGCCTCACTTATCGCCGAAATAATGTCAAGACGACGCGACGGAGAGTATCTAAACAAATCCACTTAACTTTTGTCAACTGCTTCAACATCGAAAACCTCGATACTTACTGCAAATACTGGCGGAGTCTTCCGTAACTACGCAATAAACAAACAGCCTGTACAAAAACCATCGTTGTTTACATTCTCGACTTGGACGTATCGTTACCTGCGGGTCAGGTCCGGGTTTTTACTTAGGGAAGACCTCCTGCGTGCATCGTCTGTTTTCTTTCCACGAAAGAAGCGCCGGAAGAGCATTTTCAGCAAAAGAAAAATGTTGGCGAGACGTTGCACACGGTAGAACTGACGCGGTGCCAGCGAGATACTGACTGTTGGGCATGCGCAGCTGATAGGTGACAGTTAGTGTCAACATAGGCTGCTGTCATTGTACCAGAGGTACGAGCACGTGCGATGGTGATAAAGTGACGTCAGGAGATTATCTGACATCGCTCTCAACAAAGGTTGAGTTCAGAGTATGAACAAACAGCTGTCTTGAATTTGATTATTAAAGGGGCTACGAACTGGAGTTTCGAATTGTGTAATAATTCAAAGTAAACAAAACTATTGTTGAATTTCTAGTGACAACACGCTTATTTTCAATGTAGACCTGCCCAAAATTATTCAATTATGCTTTTAAGCGTAGACTATCAACTAATTTATTGCACCATTAAACTAAACGACCACTAAACGATTAGTTACGTACCGAACTACACAGAACATTAGAAAATTTTTTTCATCTTAAGTGAGCTCAGGGTAATGAAATTTACTTTTCAAATAGCATCTAACATAGCTGAATAATGCACCCCTGTTTAGTAAACTCGTAAAAATCCAATCTAATCTGGGCAAGGAAATTTTCAAAAATTATTTTCAAACAAACGCTACAATATGAAATAATTTGTAAATTATCTATATTTGCATAAAGTTATTCTTTCTTCAAATGAAGAAGACGAGAGAAGTCACACGTTGAACACTCAGGTATCGCGGCTCTTTGCTATTCCCTTCTTTCGAGGAAAGAAACCCTAAAAACTGCGAAGCCAAACTGTCACTTTGGCGCCAGTGACTCATGAGACTTATAACTCAAACAAAGTAGTTGCATTCAACAAAGTATCCACTCTCAATAAAATATCCACTCAACAAAGTATCCACTCTCAATAAAGTATCCACTCCCAACAAAGTTCTCACTATCAACAAAGTATCCACTCTCAGCAAATGATCCACTCCTATCAAAGTATCCACTCCCAACAAAGTATCCACTCCTATCAAAGTATCTATTCTTAACAAAGTATCCACTCCCAAAAAAGTAGGCCTAAATCACTAATGTACTCTCAACAAAGTATCCACCCTCGACAAATTATTCGTCCTCAACTAATTATCCATTTTCATCAAAGTATCTAGCCTACTCTCAACTAACTAATCACTCTCAATGGGGTATCCATTTCAATTATCGTTGTCCTCTGTTAACACTATTTGTGCTGTTGACATGTTTGAACATAAAAGTTGCATTTATTTCAATGTTAAGCAATTGCGGGAATTCCCGTCATCAGCACCCAACGTGTTAAATGAAAAGGTTATAGAGTAAATTACAATAACGTGCAGTATTGAATACAAGCTTTGAAATGAGCCGGCTGAATTTCCTCACCTGTTGGTAAAGTTGTCATGTTCCAGATCCGAAGAACGTTCGGGAGAATCCGGTGTGAAGAGAGGCTGAGGCCCGAAGGGTGTGTCGAACTCTCCGAGCATCATTCAAGCTCTGGAAAATAAACATAAATCATCATTTATCCAAATTAAATTAAAACTTCACATTGCAACAGCCTAGTAGAGATGCTATGGATGATTATTAATACATGCTATAACGTTGAAATTAACAACTGGTCAGCGAAAAATATTCGGAGATTACAGTAGCATTTTCACAGAGTGAGGTCTCTGAGGCTATACTTGATTTGATGGAGAAGGAGAAGAATGAAAAAGTGACATAGTGGTAATCCAAGCTAGAGCAGTGTATACAATTAATTATTCGTTATGTACATTGACTATAAACTATTACAGCAGATTATAGGTTGAAAAGTTACATGGTCTTTATAAAATGGTATTTACCTCACGAGCTATAGATCCGTTTTATGTGTGTTACTTTTAATATTTAGTACAGTAACAGTTAAGTAGTTACAGGGTGTTTTTGCGCAAATAATGTATTTAATTTGTAACTAGCTGTAACCCGCGGGCTTTGCCCCGTTTAACTTCTTAATTTTCAAGATTATCTCGTTCGCATGGCTCAATCACGTCCTGGTTGAAGTTTGTTCGCTACGCTCACTCACCTTTAGGTTGGAGCTCGTTCGCTACGCTCACTCACCTTTAGGTTGGAGCTCGTTCGCTGCGCTCACTTGCCTTCAGGTTAGCTCGTTCGCTACGCTAACTCGCCTCCAGGTTGAAGTTCGTTCGCCACGCTCACTCACCTTTTGGTTGCAAATTAGCTGTTGTCATAAATGTAAAAGAAATAATAGTGCTGCACCCTGTTGGTAATCCTTGTAACTTTAATGCTATTGAACATCATAGAACAGAACCAACTTGTTTAATTGAAACAGCTGTTAAGATTCAATAATTCCATTTCTCATAAGGTTAACATGGGAAACTCCAGAGCCACTGGGGCGGAGCCCGAAAGGATTTTTGAAATAAGAATATGCCTATATGTTAATCGGGAATGTGAGCTATCATCATGCCAAATTTCAGCCCAATCCGACCAGTATTTTTCGAGTTTACTTTTCCCATACACACATACACACATACAGCAACCACCTCTTTTTTATAATAGTATAGATAGATTATTACAAGTACGTAGATTTATTGTTTAGGGAAAAATCAAGGTCATAATGTTGGCAGACCTGATTCCTTTACTTGATTGCCGATCAGCTGATAAGCATTTTAGCTTTGTTGTCCACACGTTTTGTGTTATTAGGAATTTATTATGGATAAGACTTATAAGCTGAAGAAGTATGTATAGAAGAATACATCAATAGTAAATTATCCGATTTATAAAAACAAACTAAATGTTTGCAGGATTTTAGCAAGATTCTCAGTGATCAACTAAATGTTGTATTAACTGTAAAGACCAGTAATAATAATACAATAGTTAGATCTCCATATAATATAAAAATTATAAATATTACAAATGGGTTGCTCTTTAAAAAAAAAAAAAAACATGTCAAATCTTAGTCACAATTCTTAACTAAAACTGTATAGATAGTAATGCTAAACAATGCATCAGCTGATCGGTAATGAACTAGTGGAGCAGGGCTACCAGCTTATGAGCTCCCTTTGTCCCTAAACAGTGAATCTCTATAATACTTGTAATTTGCGGATCGTTAAAAAACACCTGTATAATATTTACGTGATAATAAATAGAGAAACCCTCTATGACTTCGGCAATATATGGCATTATCGTTCCTTAGTGTAAAACTTACACAGCAATTTGATACAATAAAAAGTCCTCAGCCATGGGACATTTCACGACACAGCTGGGGAAATACTAAGTAAATCTTTCACAATATTTAAATTTTGTGGGTTATCCATGGCATTTAAATTGTTAAGGTGTAAAGAATCCCGGATAAAAATTCCAAAATGGACACAGACGAACCTAAAACAGAAACACTTTTGGAATTCGGTTTCTAGACAAGCCAACCTTTCAAATTCTTCATCGTACTTTGCCCTTTCTTAAAACTTCGCAAATATCCTAGACGCCACGAGGTAACCGTTCGAAGAAATTCCTGTTGGGATTTAATAAATTCTGAAAGGTCCTCCATTCCCTATGGCCCTTCATGGATTCTAAAATGTACGTAACACCTTTGACTATGTACTTGTGTTGTACTGTTTCAGAATAAATTGTAAAGCGGTATTATAAGCTGTTGGAATAGCTGATATTTTATAGAAATAAAAAACGTTGCAACAACTTTTTACCACGTAATTTTTTAGCTTTTGTTTTTTAGTAATAAGGATGGTAACATACTAATCTTAGTCAAAATTGTTTGATCAGCTTTTGTTTGAAACCTCGAATTTTTATGAAACATCGCCTAGTGAATAAAAAACACCCTGCGATACCATGGATTAGAAGCTAAACACACAAATTTCACAAAAACCAGACCACAGGTATAGATAGCTCTTTACATCCCCACAAACCCAGACACAACCTAAAAGCTCACTTATCGGGTTTAGGGGACCCAAAACGAATTTTTCCACCCAAAAATTCATTATGACGAAAACGTTAAATTAACCATATTATTATTATGTATAGGGGATACATAATAATTATATGGATAATTAAATATTTTTGTGGTATCCGGTTTAGATAGTTGTCTATTTCACTACCGGTACCGTATCCAAAATTAATAGTCTGCAATCGCCATTTTCCAACTATGACCATGGGCATCCTAATCAATTAATTCTAAAAGTAAACATATCGTTTTGTAAAATAATTTTAATTGGTTTAGCAGCGATTATAGGGCTACACAGCTGAAATCATTACGCCCAATGGAGCGGCGAAGAGCTGTATCAGTTTAATTCTTCAGCGTAATTGGAAACTCAGGATGAAACCGGTGGCTCCGAAATGGACCGAAACTCAACACTGCATTACCATTCTAACCTAAAAATACCCCCGCCACAGCAAACCTGCAGACTTGGCGAATTTCCATTTGCCTGAATGGATCTAAACTAAAATCTCTCCTTAAAAATAACACATTTATTCCCTATTTAAATAAAATAACATTAACGAGTACTTAGGTTTGCTGCATCAGGGAGGATAAAAAAGTGTTTTTGGTTGTAAAATGTTAATACTGTAGTTTAGTAAGAAATTAATGTATTTTCTAAATTTGATCAAAATATATTCATAAACAAGCAAACTACAACAGATGCCTTATTCTCCATAAGTATAACTATGTATATTTCCCTATGTTATATGTAATGTTATATGTTATATGTATGTTATATGTATGGGAAAATATTCTCCATAAGAATAACATGGGAATTTTAAATTAACATTTTTTTTTTATTTTCTCCGTAACCATTAGGGGCATAATAATTGTTCAATATACTAAATTATGTGTTTTTTTTTATCTCTACAAAATGGTTTGGAAATAAATTGTGAAATTTCGTGTTTTTTGGGTCAAAAATGGGAAAATTTATTTTTATCCCATAAAACCCCCCATAAACCCCCGTTCCCATAGTCCGATTATGCTGGTTCGCGAACTCGTTCGAATAAACGTGGGTTTACACCACGTTTGTACCAAATTTCATCAATATATATGAATTTGAACGGATGGTGTTTTTGGCCTCTAGGGACCCCAAAACGAAAAAGTAAATCGGTCCCGGGTCCAGGTCTTACCATGAGCACTACGGTAATGGCTTATTCCCTATTTGGGAAATTCACTAACAGCACCCTAAAATCATATGCTGAACATATTATACGATGTACCGAATATTCAGGATATTGTACGTTCCATGAAAACAGTAAATAAAATAAATTTACTGCTTATTCATAATATGTTAAACATGGTTTAAGATGTACCGAATATCCAGGATATTGTACCATGAAAACAAAAAAATCAAGGATTATTCGTGTGTGTTTAACAGAGTTTTACGATGCACCGAATATTCAGAATATTGTACGTGTCATAAAAACAATATATCAATAAATATACGGCTTATTCATGTGTTAAACATATTTTACGATGTGCCAAATATTCAGGATATTGTACCATGAAAACAAAAAATCAAATAAATATACAGCTTATTCGTATTTATTTGTTTCAAATAGTTTACGATGTCCCGGCACGTTGTTATAAAGTAGGCAACATAATATAACCTTATCGGCGAATTTCGCTACGGAAGAGGTCGAGGATCACTATTATCAAGTTCCTAATGAGACTAAACAGCTGATGGGTAAATAATGTCTCTGATGCGTGTGTCAGGTTCTAGAACTCTTTTAAAACATCCATGTTGATACAATTTGGAGAAATGCGTTAAACAAAATTTATTTTAATAAATTCCTACCCTAGCCCGATTCACGTTGTGCTATATAGGTTCGTGACGTAAAAATCTGCGACTAAACTTATTATATAGACGTTTAAACATGAACATATGAATATTTTGTTTGTTTCAATCCTCCTATCACTGTAATTAGTACATTGCACTTTTGTTTAAAGCCGAATTGTTCCCCAAATATTTAAAATTTTAAACGCAGCATGGTGTCTCTCATGTTCATTTTCTCAACCACGAAGACACCACAGTGATACAATAAACCTACGTAAACACATTTGTATCATAGTTTCCACACTTCCAACTCATAACTTATTATCTTTCAGTGTAGTGCAAAATCAAGTCGAATATTTTTTAAATTAATTTTTATCTTCCGTAGGATTGTCTACTTGGTTGTATTTAAAACCCAGCTGACGATATTTCGACCTCGAAATCTACCTGGAAACAACCAAAATCGGGAAGCAAACGGTTTGTCATTTCTGCTCCATATTTTGTCCAGAATGTTCATTCGGGTCAATAATCGTCAATTATCGTTTGAAGAAAAAATACTTAGCCACAGATTCCCCAAGAAATCCCTTATTCCCAGAAATGCCCCGTCGGGGTGATGAACGGAAACGGAAGCAAGGTCAGTAACATCCGAGAAACCCATTAGCTGGGAGAAATTATTAATCTATAGAAATAAATCACACAGGAAGTGCCAAAGCTATTTGAGTATCCGCCCTAAACAACTATTGTTTGAGTTAATAGATAATATACAAGTTTTTGGTTTCGTTTAGGGACCAAAATCCAAATCCGATTGTTAGCAAACTTGCATTACCGAAACTCAACACTGCATTACTGTACCATTCAAACCTAAAAACAGCGCACTAAAACCAATAAACAAACAAATACACAATGTTTACATCAGCTGGTATTATTTAAAACACATTGTTCTATGATGTGCTTTCGAATCAGTACTACTTCCATTAGAAAATGACTGGATCCTCGATCTTTGACAGCCTGTGGAGCAGAGCAGGGATAGTTTTTGACACTTCTGATGTTTTCCCCACCGTCCTTCGACCTTAAACTTTCAAATGAATCCTCAACCGCCATGCTACCTTTTTCCTAGCTCAAAATATTTCGTGGGGACCGATTCGCTTACGGAATTTTTATAATCCTAAATTATGATGGGTTATACATAACATGTTTTTGGTTTGGTGGTGAACCGGTGAACGATACTTTATAAATAATGTAGACCTATGCCATAGCTTGCGACATATACAAGTTCTTAGTGTTTGCAAGTAAATTTAAAAAGAACTAAATTCATTATCAAGGACATCGATCCGTGTGACATTCCAACAAATCATGAATGAAGTTTCAACGTAGTGGGTGGTTAGGGGAGTTTTGCGCATGATCATTAGGCTGTGACGTCAAAAATATGCCGGCGCCCTTTTAGTGATTCATACTATGCTTTCTTGGACTCAACAAAATGCTTGAAATAATGCAATGTTTCGTTTTATCAATCCGGATGAAGGAAGTCATGAATGAATCTTCTTCCCGTGTAAAATCATCCATTCATTCATTCTTTAAGATACATGTTTGATTGACTCATTACTATAGATAAATAAACTGTTAATCTCATAGACTTCCTCCTATTTCAACAACCCTTATCTAAGAATGGTATTTCATGGGTAAAATCACAAAATATTCGATAACCAATGACCTTTGTATTGGGGCTGTACCATTTTATTTAGAGCTACAAGGACCATAACATAGTACAAGGACCTACTAAATAGTAATTAAAATCTGTAGAGCCGTTTTAAAAATCCAATTATCCATTACTTAACACATCCAATTTTTTTTTTTACATTTTACATTTTTTTATCCAACATAAAAACATTAGATGAAACAACGAATTGGTACCCACATACCAAATTTCATCAATAGGAGTAGTAAATGTGTAGTAGGTAGCACTGTACACATCCACATATAACTTCTAAACCCACGTTTTTGTGTTTCGGGGGTCCAACACGCATATTTCCATCCAAAAATCAAACTAAAATTTTTTTACGAAAATAATACTTTCTACATATAGGCCTATTAAGTATAGGGGAATAAAAACAGTATATTATCTCTAACGGGGCGTAGTAACGTGTACGTCATAACTATCGTAGAGGTCATTAGGACAGTTTTACATTAGCTAATATTGATATTGACAGATGATCTTGATAAGAACCCCCTACATCAACACCCCTTCCTCCCCACACCCCCTCCAAGTTCAAATCTCCCCTTTTAATTATCATAATTCACTTCCTACACGCATGCAGTTGCTTGAAAATAACCAGTCTCTTAATTAAACAGGGTAGGTGTTTGCACGTATCCAGCAAATTGTGCAAATGTTTAGAATTCAATTTCTAATCTTTGTACAGTAGGTATAGCGTAAACGTACTTAAATTACGCAAATGTTCTCAATTATTGGATCTTGACCTACTACGGTTTAGCAATTATAACCTTACAAGGAACCGACGCTTATCAGCTGTTCGACCTCAGATGACCTCAGCGTGCTTTGATGTGATAAACCATAGAATTGTTATCACAGGTTATCGCTAGAACAGAATCGTGCCTGATAAGTCAGCTGTTTACACCTACCCTGCAAGGGCCTCAGCTTGCAAATTTGAGGATTGTTGTATTGAAACACTGTGTTTATTCGCCATTGTAAATCGGGGCTTCCGTCAAATAAATAAATTGGATTTAGGACTTTGACGGGCGGGCATTTTTAGGACGGAGATAATCTAAGGAAGTTTTTAGCTTATGAGATTAAAGCTTTGTTACTGACTAAGATCATCTGGTTGTTGGTTCCAGCTTTGACTAATGTATTTGTATCCAATAGTCAATGGTTCCAGACATCTCGATAATCCAGAACAGCTGATGGGTTAAGCAATAAGCTCTACACCAGCGAAATACTTACTAAAAGGTTTTAGAGCGTTGATGTTCGTGAAATATAATCTTCGGCTTTGAATAGTAACTTGACCCAATCCGAATCGTTAAAACATCATCCGTAGCTACTTTTGTCCAACCAGAAGTGCTGTTTATCTATGATCAACCCTTCAAAATAGGGAATTCTCAGGGTAGGTTTGGGGTACGAAGTTTTCTATAAACATGCGTTTATCATCTCTTACACGCACTATGGTTTATCTTACGTATTTTATCTTACGTTACTCAGAGGAGACTTTTTTGGTTCTAGTCAGTAATTAAATTAAATAGCTGAGGTCAATATGTAGGTACTTATTGTGTTTGGTCTAGTGTAATCGTTGCTTATGTTGTTCTTTTGCGACTAAAGCTCGTTCCCCACTCACAGGACTGTTGTGGGAACCATAGTGTTCAATATAAAATTCATTTTCTTTCAGAATACACTGTATTTGGACCTAAAGCCATGGCCAATAATACAAAATCGCATTTAATCAATGGTGTGCGATCGCAATAATTATTCATATAAAAATCCGGATGAAATAAAATGTTATTCGTCTACCTTGAACTTTATTATTTTAATTAGTTCTTTGTGCATGTCCTCGACCCGACCCACCCCCTCAAAGGCAGGTGAGCGTGTTTGTCCCGGCTACCCAACCCAAACAACCCTACCCAGGTACCGAGATGTCAAGTTCGGTAGGCCTTTGTCATCTGCACGACATTGAGGAGTGTCTGCCGGTCTGAACCTGTTTGCCAGAACAGGTGTATGAGTCATCAGGACCCGTTGTCCTTGGAGCTATTGTTTGTAGACATTCCCGCTTTCGCTCCACTACTTCCACGCGGAGGCGCCTACTTCCAGGTACTCCAGATCACAATAGAACCTGCGAAACCACACGCGGACGCCACCAGGGCTACTCAACATTTGATTTAAACAACGATGGTTAATAAATATTACAATAGTAAAAAGGTCACCGGTTCGATCCTGAGCAAACGGTAGCTTTGTGATCCACAAAGTCCAGCTTGATTAAAGAGGTTTTAGGAAAAAAAATGGTCCTGACCAAAGAAACACCTTGTGTTGGTAAAAATCAAAATAATGCATTTTCGCTCCATTTTACACAAATTACTAATAAGTATCTGGGGGGAAATACGCTCAGTTCAGTTGCGTTTCAAATTAAGTTAACTGGAAACATTAATTATTTGAAAATAAATTATTCAAAGAAAAATCGTACACTGCAATGCAACAATGTGCAGCGAACGCTTGGAATGAAATAGACAAATGTCTTAAAACAAACAATAATATAACGCGAGTTTTAATACAGACCGTAATTGTGTGAATTTGAATTGAAACACTATTTCTCGCTATAGGGCCTAAGCAGAGATATTGCATTTGTGTAGAGAAAAATAATAAAAAAAACATTTAATTACTAAGACTATTAGGTATCAAAATAGTAATAGGCCAATTAAATTGTATCGGGTCTTTTGCACCTTCAAAAATAAATACAGTCTTCAAGACATAGTAAACGGCATAGCTTGGCCTATGTTTACAATAATTTTTGTTTATATTGACGATAAAATAATAAATAGAGGTCAAGAATAACCAATATAAAGTAACGGATGAATTATTTGTAAACGAACACACACTTATAAACCACATAGTTTTCACACGAGGATTACGAAAACTTATAACACAATCAATTAGTTCTTTCTTGTAAACAGAATTATCCTCCTTTATTTACTGATATCGACAAGTCCTTTTTATCATCTATCCACACTTAGTTTGAGGTACAGTAACGTTTGATAACACATCGCTAAACATGACATTTTAACTTCTCAGACGAACGGCGCGGTATCTTATCGATCGTAATTCGGAATTCCTAAGACATTCCTACCGTAATTTACACTTACACCTTGGTCCAGTAATTGCATCTTATACAACAAGTTGAAATGAATACATTTATTATTCTAATAAGCAATTTGTCAAATCTAACACCTAAAAGTCAATAACCTCAAACATTAGGTGTGAAAATCTGAGAACATAAATTAACCTTATCTTATGGTTATGAAAATACTTACGGGCTATGAGGTGTGCATCCAATTGAACACTATACACTGAAAGTTCACAACACGGGCATACACTGACACTATTGACACTGAAACAAGACACGAAAATTGTTGGGACTGCGAGGTGCCAGACACTCCAGCTAGGCGACTGACTAGACAGACGGACGGACTCTCTCACCCCCATTCCCCCCTCCTACGCCACACCAAGCTGTGAAAATCGGTCGATGAAGGGAACGCTTCCGATTGGACGAAAATTACGTCATTCAGTTTGGGGGTGGATTTCGTGGAATCTCTCGAAAATCAACCCTCCCAAATACGCCGCAGTACACAGCATTTTGGTAGTGGATTTATGGTTTTGTTTTGATCTCGCATTGAATTATCTCTACGATCTAGCCATTCATTGTTAGCATGGTATTGAACAAAAAAATCAAAATATATTTGATTGGACTATAGCATAAATCCTACAACGTCTGTTCAATTTGTTTTGATTAGCCGATGCAATATCGGTTCTGAAAGAATAAGAAATTCTGGAAACCAAACTGTACCAGCTTTGTTATGCTATAAAAACTATTTACATGTCGTATTTCGTACCACATAGTGTCGAGAACCATTATTAAAGTAGGGTAATTAATGGTTTTACTGAATAATGTGGCCAAAAGGTGACCAAAAATCCATTGGTTGGATTTTCAGGCTATTTAAAATATGAATAACTAGCTGTAACCCGCGGGCTTTGCCCCGTTTAACTTCTTAATTTTCAAGATTATCTCGTTCGCATGGCTCAATCACGTCCTGGTTGAAGTTTGTTCGCTACGCTCACTCACCTTTAGGTTGGAGCTCGTTCGCTGCGCTCACTTGCCTTCAGGTTAGCTCGTTCTCTACGCTAACTCGCCTCCAGGTTGAAGTTCGTTCGCTACGCTCACTCACCTTTTGGTTGCAAATTAGCTGTTGTCATAAATGTAAAAGAAATAATAGTGCTGCACCCTGTTGGTAATTTTTGTAACTTTAATGCTATTGAACATCACAGAACAGAACCAACTTGTTTAATTGAAACAGCTGTTAAGATTCAATAATTTCATTTCTCATAAGGTTAACATGGGAAACTCCAGAGCCACTGGGGCGGAGCCCGAAAGGATTTTTGAAATAAGAATATGCCTATATGTTAATCGGGAATGTGAGCTATCATCATGCCAAATTTCAGCCCAATCCGACCAGTATTTTTCGCGTTCACTTGTCACAAACATACATCCATACATCCATACATCCAAACTTTCTCATTTATAATATTAGTAGGATTTAGCGTTGGTAATAAAATTTGGCGATCAGATTAGTCTAATAACTCGGACGCACACACAGATAAAGTATACACAATTTTTTAGAATGTTATAAATATAAAATTATTTAGTATCTGTGACTGCTGTTAACACTATCATCAATAACTTCTTACATTCCTAGCGTCAGTCAGGTTATTGTTATTTGTTGGACTTAATACACTACTTGTTGTATTTTTTAATTCAAAGTGTATGCTCAAATCAAATAGTTCACGATTTGTTTCCCGTTTTTAATTGCAGGATTTCGGGCACTTTTGGACCTCTCGGGAAGAGAATTTTAGAATATTAAGGCAGTCACAGAAGCCGCGATCGCGGTCGAATATTTAGTTTTTTACACTTGACAAAACTCACAGTTTTCAGGTTTTTACAATTACCGTAAATAAACCAAATTATATTACTTTTTAGGAATTAGGTAAGTTAATATTTTTGACACCTCTAAACAGTACAGAAAGCACCTGGTTTCTTGGGTTCTTTGTAGCAAAATCAGCTGGATATATTTTTCTCATGGTACAAGAACAAGGTTGTAATATACAAGGAATCACCTGGTATATTGTGCATGGTGGAAGGAAAAACCATAGGTGTGCTGCTGTTCCCGTCATATGCAGATGCCACCAAGATTGCAAACACATTTTCATCATTTAGGAAAAATTATAAAATCTATAACAATCATATCAAAACAAATATACATATGGCAATACAACCAGGTTATTTTTTGTTTGCAATCTGGGTGACGTCAGCATATGGGGAAGAGCACACCTATGTTTTTTCCTTCCACCGTGTATATTAAGTAATAACACTGGTATAGTATGTAATACAATGTATCAAGTGCCCACCAGCGTGAAAAAACCTTTTTCTAGAAAAGTCACTTACATTTCACCAAACACTCGGGGAACTTTTTACAAAAGCACAATTTCAGTTTCTTTAATAAGTTTTAAAAACAGCTAACCAATAGAAATATTTGTCAGGGTTAGTGGAGAAGCAAATTGCATTTTCATAATAGGTAATACATTTTGAAAATGTTTAGAAATTATAACATTTCTTTCAAAACAAATTGAAATTCTATTGTGTCTATTAGCTTGATAAGTCAAAGTAATAAATACCCCCCACCACAGCAAACCTGCAGACTAAGTGAATTTCAATTTGTCTCATTGGGGGTTTACTAAAATATTTCAATAATCAAGACATATATTCCCCATAAAAAAAACATAAATTTAAACAAGCAATTACAAAAGTCATCTTTTTCTCCACAAGAACATGGGAATCTTAAATGTACAGTTTTTAGGGAATTTTATCCATAACGTTTAGTTTTACATCAATGCTTCAATGTACACAATTATTTGTTTTATTAATCTTTACAAGATGGCTAAATTGGGAATTTTTATGTTTTAGGGGTAAGTTTTGAAAAAAAAACACAATTTTTTTTAAATTTAAAAACACCAATACCTTATTCCCATGACCCGATCTTGCTGGTCCGTGAACACATTCAAGTTTATCCATCTATCCAGTCCTACATCTTTAAGCCAAATGTCATGAAAATCAGATAAAATTACTCGAGTTATCACGTTCTTAGACATAAGTATATATAAAATTTAGAATAGTGTTAAAATTGAAAAAGTAAATCGGTCCCAGGTCTTGGTCTTACCTTGCCACCTACGGTTATAGCTACTTCCCTATAGGGAAGTGCGCTAAAATCATTGGGTTTTGATTAAAGTTTGTGTAAACCTATTTAAACCTAAATTTATACAAATGACTAACGAGAATCGTCAGACCCTGGAAATAGGGTTTTAGTGTTTATATAGTCAATGGTTTTATGGAGATAAAAAGTAATTTTTCCCATTTCAGATCCTCAAAACATAAAATTTCAAAATTTATCTCTATACTATTTTGTGGAGCTTAAAAATTAAATCATTTTAAATATTGAAGCATGCTAATGTTTCATACGTAGAAATTTTTTTAATGTTTCAAAACCTTTAAATTAAAAATTTTCATGTTATTTTAATGGAGGAAGTAAACTGTTGTAGTTTGGTTGTTTCTGAATATTTTTATTATCAGATTTGGTACATTCATTTATGTTTTACCTCAGAGTAATAAAACAAATTTAAATTTAATTTAAATTTTGTTTTATTACTCTGAGGTTTTACAAAGCAAGGCTATTAATTTTTCTTTTGAAAAACATACTTAATTAGGTACCCTCCTTGTAGCAGCAACCCTTGGAACTCATCACATAATGTTATTGAAATAGGAAAATGGAAATTCGCTTAGTCTGCTGGTTTGTGTTGGCCAATAATTTTTTAAAGCATAACTATTAAAACTACACGATTTTTGAACACAGGTTTTTAAATGATAAAACATAAAATACTTTTGTTAGGAAACTATATTATGCAAACAGTATTTTTCAAATCTTAATAAACATACAAAAATAGTAATTTCTTTGAATAAATATACAGTCAAACATCTCTAATACAATAAATTACAAAATATAGAAATAATCACTGAACAATTCCAGAGTTAACAAAATAAACCATCACACACTCTAAGCCTGTTTTACAGAAATGTTAATTAGAACAATAATAGTTTAAGTAAGCTATTTAAAAAAATATGAAAACTAAACCAAGATTTTTATCTTTATGGTACTTACAGATACACCCTACTAGGTAGGAAAACAACAGTTTAAATAAGATATGTTCAAAACATTTATCCACACAAGCCTGTTTTAAAGAAATATCTATTGGAACAATAATATTTTAAATGAGCTATAAAAACAAAAACTAAAACTAAGATTTTTGTGGCATGATTTTCTACAACTGAAATACTCTACTTGGGTAGGAAAACAACAGTACTATATTTTTATATCAATACAAATAGAGATTTTTCTACACATGCTTGTTTTATGGAAATATCAATTTTAACGATGATATTTTAAATAACCAATGAAAATAAATAACTTAAGCTAAGATTTAATTCTGTATGATTTCTTTAACAGAAACGCCCTACTTGGTGGGAAAAACAACAGTTGGAATAAGATATTTTCAGTAATATTAAAAAGATTTTCAATACACAAGCCTGTTTTACAGGAATATTGATTGAAATAAAAACCGATTATATATGCTATTTGAATAAATAGCATATTTATGACACAAGCCTGTCCAACCTATACTTGGTAGGAAAACAGAAACATTTAAATAAGATTTTTTCAATAAATAATCAATAAGAAATTGTATATACCATACAAGAACACTTCAGAAATGCTTCTTGGAACAAAAATGTTGAAAGTTATTTTGAAGAAGTAATAAAAATCAATCTTGCTACAGAAACAATAACTACGCAACTTAGTGAGCCATCTTAAATGTCATCGGATGTTGTCACATTACACCTTCAAATTTTCTTAATGTATGCACTAATAATAACCTATTTATGGTTTTCTAATGTGTGTGAGGGTTTTCAAAACTGATGCCAGGTGAAAGTTTTGTACTTAATGTACATTGTCTTTCAATTCTGTCTTACAGCCTACAAAAACAACCAACTTGCAAAAGCAAAAGTGCAGACCCTAGAATTCTGAACTCTGTATGAAATGTAATTGCAAGTCTAACTTCAGAATATTTGTCAAAGTGTTTCATGAAATTAATCCAGATAAACTGAAGTAGGCCTTTAACACAATCAAACCTGTGGGGATCCCCCAACACCTTCAGAGGGTTTCTTTGAGTTTAACTCACCTTTAAAATGTTTCTTTGAGTTTAACTCACCTTTAAAATGTTTCTTCAAGTTTAACTCACCATAAGAGTGTTTCTTCGAGTTGAACTCAAAACTATTCACAGAGTTCCTTTGAGTTTAATTCAAACTGCCGTTATTTTGTTGAGACTTCAGCAGCAAGCTGTACTTTTGGAACGGCTGGGAACTTTTGTCGACTTTGAAGCTTGTTTCGGTCACAGCCCTGTTCAACATGTATCTCGGGTCTATATGCCATTCGTCGTTCTTGTCTAGGGAAGTTGTAGGAACGTCAGGATTGTCGACAAGTTCACTGTCCATATAGTTTTTATCCATCAGATTGACTTCGGGCAACTCGTCATACTGTGGATCCTCTTCGATCAGTAGAACATCGTCAGGAAGGATGATTTGACCGGGATCATCGTTGTCGTTGTTCTGATGTTCTTTCTTCCTGTGAGCGAACAAAGTTTGCTTAAGACGGAACGATTTCCCACACAAATCGCAGGAGAACGGTCGTTCGCCTGTGTGTATCAAATAGTGACTCTTGAGAGCGTAGGAACGACGGAACGATTGGCTGCAGATGTCACATTGATATGGCCGTACATCTTGATGGATCCTAGAACATGTATTGTAAGTCAGAAAGTGGTAGAAACTTTTTTAAATAAGCACATTTCATTCTACGTATGCAAAAAATTTAAGTACAGGTAAATTAACATCACTGCCGATATCAAAGTAAAAAATGTTTGCTCTGAGTCATCATCTGAACAGTGCAGCATTGACTATTCAAAGAATGCAGTAGCAGGAATAAAGAGGAACATCAAAACACACAACATATAATACACACATATTTTACAATAAAATGTTATTGAGAAATAAAGTTGGCTGACTAATTTTAACACTTAAAGTTATATTAGCCAATGAGTAGCATACGAGTAACAAAACCTACACTTAAAATAATTTTTATGACAACATAACACAATAAAGCGGGCATGAGCTGTAATCTGGAAGGCCTACTTAGAAGTACTAGGACGTTGGGTTTGTAAGTGTGTTTAGAGCACTTGAACATTTTACCCAATCAATAACCAAAGAGTTTAAGGCATTTTCTCCCAGGTTAAAGACAACAAAACCACAAAAAATATGTAGGATTTGAATAAAGGATTAAATTTAAAGGTAAAAAGGGCTGCAAATGTCTTCATTAAAAAACCCTGTTAACTTTCTTAAATCTTAGCTGAGTTAGTCCATTCCTTCTAACTTATAACTTATGTATTTCTAAGCCAATTATTCTGTACTACAATTTTTTTTTTAATTTCAACTGGCGATCGTTGACCAGATGTCTACATTGGTCTTGTCAGATAAAAATTTACTTGAAAAAATTAATTTAAACTAATATTTACAATATTTACACTGTGAATAATAAAAGAAGTGCTATTACAAACTGTGACAGTATCCACGTCCACACACCTTGAATGATCCAGCCACACCGCTCTAGTGTGGAAGGTACGTCCACACACTTCGCACATATAAGGCCGCTCGCCCGTGTGAGCTCTCCGATGATTCTCTCGTTCCGTTCGATCTCGGAATTTCTTCCCGCAGTACTCGCACTCAAACGTGTCAGTTTCCGAGTGCAGTTTCATGTGGCGTATCAGCCCCGCGCGATGCGTGAACCGCTTGTCGCAGCTGTTGCACTTGAAGCGTTTCATACCTTGGTGAGCATCGGTGTGAGCTTCTAGAGCAGACTGCGACAACAACTTATATTGTACATGGTGTTTGAGAATTGACTCAATGGCTCCCACAAAATAACAAGATCCCATTGATTAACTTATAGACATACTTTAATTTTAATAACAGTAATCATTTATTCAAGTGATATGTGATATATCACTTTAGACATAAAAACAAATGTCATATCCGTTACCATAGGCTCTAGATAAGAAATACCAAAAAAGTGTTTAGCAATGGTGAACAATTGGTACTTTACAGAAATTTTAAGATGATTAAGTTACATTTAAAGGAGATACAACAGGAGTGCGAGCAGCTTGCGACCGCGGTAGATGTTCAGGAGTTTGCCGCGATTGCAAAAGATAAAAGATGCTGATGGTGTTTCTGTGACTTTGAGAGATAAACAGAATTTTCCTTTGATTGCAAGAGACAGTGATGTTATCCACATATCCATGGGAAATTACTACATTATTACAATTATAACACTGAGATATTTTTTGCATTAATTCATTTAGTGTATGGCAATATATATAATTCATTATTTACTAAAACTGGGCTCAAAAATATTTTGAGGCTCAATCTTTTCCCCAAAGTTCAACTTGAGCTCGACACGGTAAATAGTCTCAAGCTCGTACACCTGTCCGATCTAGGACATACAGTTACATTTTGTTATATTATAGAGAGGCTATTTAAGACTTGATGTGAAGTGTGAACCTACATAGCAATCGTACCACATCCAACATCATTTTTAAGAACCTCAATAAAATATTACACGAGGTGAAAAATATTACCTTGAACTGGAAAGTTTTGCCGCAAGTCTCGCAGATGTAGCTGTTGCCGTCGTTGCCGTCCCCCGACTCATGACACTTCCTCATGTGATGCTCCAAACTGGTCTCCGTCACATAGGGTTTCTCACATATCTGACAGTGAAACAGACTGTTGACGTTGACACCTTCACCGTTCACATCCTTGTCATTCATGCTGTGCTGTTTCTTCCTGTAAATGTCAGGTAGTAAGAGGCAACAAATTATATTAATTTTTTACAGCAAGTTTGAGTTTTAACTTTTGCCTTAGGAACTGGTTTAGTGGTAGAGCACAGAACTTAGTTCCCTGTGGTCCAGGATTAAAATGCATATTAGTTGATCGGCAGTGAAGCACAGAAAACAGGTATGCAAAATTATGATTTAGTTTTCTCCTTAAAAAGTGTCTTATGGTACTAGCAATTTGTGTTGCATTAAAAAAAAAACACCCCAAAAGATAAGATGTGTTTATGTATAGTCTACTCAAGTATCAAAAATCAATTATCGTAGCAAAAGAGCAAATTTATCTTTGTCAAAGTCCAGTCTACCAATTCATTCATGCATCTTTGTTTGGAGTTTCAACATTGAGCAATTTAAAACATAAACATATGTTTACCTGTGAAACTGCAGTGACCACGAAGTAGCAAATTTATCCCCGCACATGTCACAGGTAAAGATAGGCTTGCCAGAGGCGTGTTGGAACCTGCGGTGCAGACTCATGTACGTGTAGTGTAGACATCGCTTGTCACACTCGTGGCACAAGAAATACTGCGGAATCACAAACTTCTCCTCACCTTCGTTCACTGGAACATTCACAAAAATTCACATTGAAATTACTGCAGTGGTTTTATCACTCAAGAACGTTGTATATGGATTAACTGAAATTTGAAAAAAGATAAAGAACCATAATTCTTTTAACAGTGAAATACAAAATAAAAAGCAGAGTAAGTTCAGATAGTAGACGTACATGTTCTTGAATAAACCTTTACCATCTCCGATTTTTTTTCTGTTCACTTTTGAACAGCAAAGTGATCAAATATCACACAAAAGCTTATTCTTATATTACAAGCAAATGCTCATTGCAAAATTACTTAAAGTGTCACAAATTTTGTCAAAAACTCCCCACTCAAAACTTAAAATTGATTCCTTACTATAACACATTTATAAAAACCTTTGACCAGATAAATTTATCTTTTGAAAGAGTTAGTGTGAAAATTATAGAGTTTATTAGCTTGCAACTTCCTTTAAGTTATTTCTCTCATAACATAACCCAAAATCATTAATAAGCAAGCTTTAATATATTTAATTTACATGGATTTTCTTTGAAATCTGTTTAAAAGATATCCCCTTTATACAGTAGGATTCCCTACTATGATTGGTGAAGAATTGTTAGTTGCAACCACACAAAGATAGAGCAAAGGAAACCGACAATAAGAGTACGAAGAATGTGGATTGATGAGGTAAACGTAGAGAGGAAAGAAGCTGGAAAGTATACGTCAAAGGAAGAAAAAGTGAGAGAAGTACTATCTATAATAATATGGAGAAGCTAAGTCGACGCCAGAAAAAGTCATAACGGAGATACAAATATCGACAATCCATATACCTTTATCAGGTACTATAAGTGACTCTGTATTGATGCCGTGGCTCAGTTTATGTGTCGTAACTCGAGCGTATGTGGAGAAAGTAGCGCCACAAACACTGCAGGTGTACGGGTTCATCACCAGCGGATCACTGTGAAACTTCTGACGATGAGCGTTCAGTTCCGCCGTCTTGTGGAAGAACGCATCGCAGAACTCACACCGAAACACCTGTGAAGCAGTATATGGTTTGTGATTTGATGTAGAGTAATGGTCCTTTGAAACGGATTGTTGTGTTCAAAGTTATAAGTTTGTATATGGAAATAAACATGCTATATGAATAAGTTGTGTTCAACCAAAACTCTTTAGCTCATTACAACACAATGTCTTTTTCTGGAGCAGGATTAGAATACAAGGAATGTTCTTTTGGGACGTACAGAAAATCCAAACAAAGTTCACCTATATTCACTGAAATCGAAATGCTTGAATCAATCCCCACTACAATCTACTCCGCTTAGTTACAATAGTCATTATTTGTCTTCACTTTATTGAAATAAATAATCTGATTCAATGTAAAATAGATGGAGAATTGAATAGTAACAGAAATTTAGTATGACTTAAGTCACTTCAAAACTTACCAAATTAACCTCCATTTCTTCAAGATTAATGTCTTGCTCTTCCGCGTGCCCTTCCGTATGTTTAATGGCATCCTTCATATTTGGAAACAGCTGAAACACGGATAACAAAAACAAAAATAGTAGTTGTTCCAAAACTTACAACTAATAATAAAAAAAAGCTACATAGCATAGGTACAAGATAAAATATTACATAGTTAAAAATTACTAGAAATTGAGTGGTTTAAGGTTAAAGCAAAGCTAAGACTAAAAGCTCAAACAATCAAAGTCAGAAAATTGTGCCAATCCATTATGCTTGCGATATCACCACAACTAAAGTAGCTCTATTTTAAACAATTCTCTTTGGTATCTTTAAGTTTTAAAAAAAGTTTTATTCTTATATTTTTTCACAATTTTAGCCTTTAATCTACTATTTAGTCTTTGAAAATGTAAAATTATCTCAGTTTCAAACTGTTAAATTCTGTGAATAGCAATTGCGAATTATTATAAAAATATTCATCCATTTAAGAGTGGTCTTGATTATCCGAACAAAACCCCAATTCGCTAACTATGAATAATAATACACAAAATAATTAATTTAGATTCTCCATTCAAAAAACTATTTGAGGTTTTAAGTTGGTTTTCCACTTAAACCACTAACATATTAAGTTATTTTAGCGAATTTCCCATATGGGGAATAATCTATTACCGTAGTACTCATGGTAAGACCTGGACCCGGGACTGTTTTACTTTTTCGTTTTGAGGTCCCTAGAGACAAAAACACCATCCGTTTAAATTCATATATATACATTTATTATATAATGTTTATATATGTGTCCGTTAGCGCAATAACTCGAGCAAAAATCATCCAATTTGATCAAAATTTGGTACAAACGTGTAAACCTACATTCATTTGAACGAGTTCGCAAACCAGCATGATCGGACTATGGGAACAGGGGTTTATGGGGGTTTTATGGGGCAAAAATTGGTTTATCCCATTTTTGACCCTAAAAACTTTTAACAAAAAAATTTAGCATTTTCTTTCCAAACCATTTTGTAGAGCTTAAAAAAACCAATAATTTAGTATATTGAAGCGTTATTATGCGCCTAATGGTTACGGAGAAAATTCAAAAAAACTGTAAATTTAAAATTCCCATGTTATTCTTATGGAGAATAAGTAAACTGTTGTAGTTTGCTTGTTTATGATCATATTTTGATAAAATTTGGAAAATGCATTCATTTCATACTAAACTAGTAACATTTTACAAAAAACACCTTTTTACCTTTTTTCCTGTTGTAGCAAACCTAAGTATTCCTTAAACTAATGTTATTTAAATTAGGGAATAAATGTGATATTTTTAAGGAGACACTTTAGTCTAAATCCAATCAGGCAAATGGAAATTCGCTCAGTCTGCAGGTTTGCTGCGGCGGGGGTATTTTAATGATGAAATAAAAACATAACAAAATGTTTTTTATATGTATATGGTTTTGACCCAGATACAATATCCAAGAATTAGAGATGGACAAGTCTCAAGATTTTGAGAAATTTTAAATCTTGTTCTACGCGACAAGATTTTATTTTGATCGAGATTTTTTCAAGACCAGGTTATAAAAAAAATATAAAAAACAACTTTAAAACGCCTGCAGAAAGACAATGCAATACCCGCAATACAAGAGAGCATTGTTGTTGCGTTTCCTGTGCGAAGGCGTTCTTATTTAATTAATTATTTACTTGTAAATATTGCTTAAATTGTTTTATAATTTTTGGTTATGACATTGCAAATGATAAGTTTTGTTAGGTGTAAGTTTTACTACTGAAAACATAGCCCGACACAAGTCACTCCAAAATTATACTAAAAATAACACAAGACTGAAAAATTTATACTTGATACTTAACTAGGAAGACAGATGTTTCAGACTGATAAATATTATATTTTTTTAAAGTTGAACTGAATCCTAACTGATATTCATGTTTGCTATGCAGATGAGTTGTTTTTAATAAGGTAAGCGTAATTGATAATTGTTTTTTTATAATGATGTTTTTCATTAATGATTTTTAACTAAAGAAGAGTTATTTTTAATAAGGTGAGCCTAATTAAAAGTTTTTTTTTTACAAATGTTTTTTATTAACCTCTTGAATCCCACGAACGCGCCCGCGCGTCCGGCCGGTAGCCCTGCTACCAGCCCACTGACGCGCCGGCGCGTCCTAGTGTAGTTTGAATTTGCCGCGCTTGGCAAGCAAACCGAAGAAGAAGAAAGGTTGCCTTGTTTAGTACTGCCGTGTTGGCAATAACCTGCTCTTTCGTGTGGTATATTTCGTTTTGCGATATTCCCAACGGCATCACTGCAGCGATCGTTCGAAGTCAGCTCTCATTTGTCAGCTGTGTGATCATTCGCTGCTGTTTATTTACTAGCTTGTTGCCGTGCTCTGTTATGAGTTTTCTGTAAACAATGTCGAATCGTGCGGGTAAATCACTTCAAGATGATGAAATATGTGAATATTTAGGGAATGACAACCTTAGTGATGTTTCCGGAATAGATTTCGACGATGAATTGTACGACGAATTGGATGTATTGTGTGACATCGGACCGTCAATGGAGGATGTTTTCGATACTTCACTCTCGAATACGCCAGTGAGTAATATTGATCGTGATATTGATGTACATCCTAATGATATTATTACCAGTGCCAGCACTGAAAGTGTACCATATTTAGACATTAGTGTTGAAAATGATCCAACCATTCCTAGTACCAGTAATAATGATATCCCTGATAGGCCTATTATAAACTTAGATGTTCTCCCCGGTCCCAGTGGTGATGGTTCACATAAACCTAGGCCTAGGCCTACTCAAAAGCGGAATGAACACACCGCTAATTCCTCTAACAGTGCTAGAGATAAGGATACTAGGCCCTCGAAAAAGAGGAAAACTAAAACCCCTAAAAAACCTCCAATTACTTTTCCATGGGTAAATGACAAAAATTTTTCACCTAACCTTTTTGATTTTGACAGCTCCAATACTGGAGTAAACAATGACAGTGGTCTTGACGAAACATCGTCCAATCTCAAGTTTTTTTTGGAGCTATTTACCTTGGATTTAGTGGATCATATTGTTGATCAAACAAACCTTTACTTTACTGAAGTAGTCTCACGCTTACCTAACGTTTCACAAAGTGAAATCTCAAACTGGAAACCTACAAATAGGAATGAAATCTTGAGTTTCCTTGCTTTATGTATACTTATGTCCCACGTACGAAAGAATGAAATTAGAGAGTACTGGTCATCAGATAGCCTTATAGAGACAAAAATATTCAGAGAGGTTATGCCAAGGAATAGGTTCCAGGCTATTTTGCGGATGTTACATTTCAATAACTCCGTTGTTACTAACCAAACATCACTTGGTAGACTACATAAAATCAATCCAATCTTGTGTTCTTTGAACAAACAGTTTGCAGATACGTTTACTCCATTAGAGAAGCTGGCTATAGACGAAACTCTTTTCTTGTACAAAGGAAAGTTGGCCTTCCGGCAATACATTCCCAAAAAAAGGGCCAGGTTTGGAATTAAACTTTTTGTTTTATCTGACTGTGAGACCAGCATGGTTATTCACATTTTGCCTTACGTTGGAGCTGAAACACGTTTGAACTTCCCTGGCATAGAAGGTATAAGGATTACAGGGCAAGTTGTGCTCACCCTCTTGGAGCCTTTTTTTGGCCTCGGTCATAAGGTTTACCTGGACAATTGGTACGTCAGCCCTAGCCTAGCAATGGAACTGTATAAACACAAAATAAACATGTGTGGTACTGTATTGCCAGATAGGCAAGGTTTGCCTAAGAAGTTACCCAATGTTAAAACTGGCCAGGCTGACGTACACCACACGGAGGTGATGATGTACGAAAGATGGCAGGACAAGCGGGAGGTGAGGGTTTTGACCACGATGCATACATATGGACTAGAAGAAACTGGTAAAACCAACTGGGAAACTGGATCTAAAATAACTAAGCCAAAAAGTGTTTTAGATTATAATAAGAACATGGGTGCTGTTGACATTGGGGACATGGAGTTGTCCTTCAATGTCACAGCAAGAAAAACCATCAAATGGTATAAAAAATTATTTTTCCACCTCCTAGACGTTTCCATAAGAAATGCCCACATTTTGAAAAAGATAAAAACAGGCAAGAAACCCCACCTCTCCGACTTCAGGAAGGAGCTTGTTCGAGAAATTCTTCAGGTCTATTGCCCTACAAGAATCAAACCACAAGGTGGTCGACCATCCTCTGGCGAAACACCACTTCGCCTGACGCAAAGGCACTTTTTGGAGCCCATCCCTGCAATTGCTGGAAATCCTCGCCCAAGAAGGAAATGCCATGTTTGTATGCACACCAAGAGGAGGCCCCAAAAACGGCAGGATACCTATTACATGTGTGCTCCATGTAATACCCCTCTGTGTATCCATCCATGCATGCAAGAGTTTCCCACGCTTCAGCAGTTCTGACAGGTAAGATAGTTCTACACTAATGTTATTTTCATTGGGATTTATAATCTGTAATTATACTTAGGTACCTAATGAGTAAAGATTTATCAATATTGTTTGTTTATTGTTGGTTTATTGCATACTACATACACTTATTTGTTCATGAACTTATTTGCAAATTTTCTCAAAAGGCTGCAGAAAATCAGTTTTGTGTTGTTTACGGCGTTTTATATTGCAGTTTATAAAAAAGTACCTATATAAAATTCAACATGTACCCTATATATTTCTATGTAGGGAATTAAATTCTCTACATAATTGGTATAACTATTAGTCCAAAAAGTGTTTTGCTTATTTTTACTGTGAGCTTACTTTAAAATTTTTTTTTTATATATATATAGATATTGCATGTATAAAAAAATGTTGTAAATGTTTTACCATGTTTTTTTATATTATTTTCAGATTCTACTGTTTATTCTGAACAAAATAAGTATAAACATTGTTGTAATTGCTCAATTCTTAGATTTTTTATAAATTTTTTAAACAATGTCTGCGAATTCACTAAATAAACCCGGGTTGGGGCTAAGGCCAGTATTTTTTGTGCTCTCTGCATGCAAGAGTTTCACACGCTTCAGCAGTTCTGACAGGTAAGATAGTTCTACACTAATGTTATTTTCATTGGGATTTATAATCTGTAATTATACTTAGGTACCTAATGAGTAAAGATTTATCAATATTGTTTGTTTATTGTTGGTTTATTGCATACTACATACACTTATTTGTTCATGAACTTATTTGCAAATTTTCTCAAAAGGCTGCAGAAAATCAGTTTTGTGTTGTTTACGGCGTTTTATATTGCAGTTTATAAAAAAGTACCTATATAAAATTCAACATGTACCCTATATATTTCTATGTAGGGAATTAAATTCTCTACATAATTGGTATAACTATTAGTCCAAAAAGTGTTTTGCTTATTTTTACTGTGAGCTTACTTTAAATTTTTTTTTTTTATATATATAGATATTGCATGTATAAAAAAATGTTGTAAATGTTTTACCATGTTTTTTTATATTATTTTCAGATTCTACTGTTTATTCTGAACAAAATAAGTATAAACATTGTTGTAATAGCTCAATTTTTAGATTTTTTATAAATTTTTTAAACAATGTCTGCGAATTCACTAAATAAACCCGGGTTGGGGCTAAGGCCAGTACTAACAAAAGCCGGGATTCAAGAGGTTAATGATTTTCAATAAAAGATTTGAAATATTCTTTTCTAATATTATCATTTTTATAATTAACCAGTCATCTGTCATAAATCAGTAGGTATTTAAATAATGTTACTATGTATGAGAAATAAAAAATCCCGTCTCGTCTTGAACTAAAAATCTTATCTCGCCTATCTCTCCCAAGAATGATAAAAGTTTTATTCCCACCAACCCAGTAGCGTAGCCAGGATTATGTCAAAGGGGGGGTTTCACATAGCTGATCGGGGGGGGGGGGGGGGGGAGGGGCACAGCCGTAACTGTAGAAAGGGGTATACCCTCTAGTACATTTGATTTTTTATATTCCTCATTTGCACAGTTCCACTTGAGCACTAAACATAATAAGCTAAATAGCAGTGAGGTCCAGTTTTTTTCAGTAGGTTTGTACGTTATCTATTGTCTATTAAGAACCTCGATTAACCAGAGTGGTCAATATAAATGCTTATAAAAGTATGTTACATAACCTCACTATCCAATACCAAGAAAAAATTTTTAATTGCGTTTCTTTAGTCTAATGTGTTGAAATGAATTGTATTTTCAATTTAACTAGTTTGTTAACAATATTATTTACATGCAGTAGGTTCTTACATTATTATTTTTGAAACATAACAGTTCACTGACAGTCGTCTACTCCTTACACATCTGTCTGTGTGCTTTGCGCTATGTCACAGATCTTATTCTGTCCTAAAACAGCACATAGCAGTAGCCTATGGCCAACAGTAAGCCTATGACTAGATTACTAGACTATATATTTTTCTGTTCTTTCCACGATTCATTTCTGTACAGTAAAGTGTTTGGAAATTTGTTTGTTTGAGTAAAACTTTGAGTCAGCTATGATTCTAAACGTTACAGTTTTTATTACTGAACCAAAAGCTAATGACAACTTATTATGATTGCACAATACTACTGTAATTGTCTTTTAATTGTGAAAAGAAAATTAATCATCACAATAATGTTCATTTATACAGTACTAGGAGTTTTTTTATGGGCAAAATCCTTTTGTCAAGGGGGGGGCCAAAACCCCCCCCCCCTTGGCTACACCACTGCACCAACCTGAGTACAAATAGAACACTTGTACGCCTTCATGGATGCCTTGGACGCTTTGACAGAGTGAGTGCGAAGGTGTACCCTCAGACGAGACAGGCGTGACAAGTAAGCTCCGCAGATGTGACACTGGAACGGCTTCACGGACATGTGACTAACCATGTGTTCCCTGAGGGTCTGGGCGTTCTGGAACCTCTTGCCGCACTCCTTGAACAACATGAGTTCAATAGAATAACTTTATAAGGTAGAGTCCCTCAAACAGTCGGAACGCAAAAAGGTACAATTATTTTAACAAAATAATTTGAATCTTGTAGACCGGCAGCAGTGCTGCAGTTAGCATATGTTCCGGCACCCCACAGCTAGGAGTGTCGTGTAGTTACGGCGCACACCGCTGCAGGCAAGGAGCGCAGGAGCCAGCAGCCGCTGCAGCAGTGTGCGCTGTAACTACACGACACTCCTAGCGGTGGGCGCCGGAAGCTTCCTTTGACAGTCTATATTTATTCTATTTGTCTAAGGCGAGAGGTAATAGTGCTCAACATGTAATTAGAAGTTCCCTAGTTTGATCCTGAAAGTCTGTAACTTGTATAGGGTAGGCACTGTGTGCCAGACATTTTACTTTATGTCAAGTCAGGTCTAAAATTTTGGTCCACAATCTCGGAACTAAATTGGGTTGGGCGAAATCAGGTTGATTTTAAAATATATAAGTGTAATTTCACTACAATCGGTTTATTGACAATATTGTAAATGGTCTTCTCCATATCACGATAAAATCGTGAATATCTACTGTGGTCGTGGCAAAATCAAGAACACAATGAAATTGTCAAAGTTCACGGTTACGGTGAAATTATGAACATCTATCAAGGTCACAGTGGAAACTAGAAAATAATCCAAGGACACAGTAGAATCTAGAACATCTTCCAACGACACAATAGAATCTAGAACATCTTCCAAGGACACAATAGAATCTAGAACATCTTCCAACGACACAATAGAATCTAGAACATCTTCCAAGGACACAATAGAATCTAGAACATCTTCCAAGGACACAATAGAATCTAGAATATCTTCCAACGACACAATAGAATCTAGAACATCTTCCAAGGACACAATAGAATCTAGAACATCTTCCAAGGACACAATAGAATCTAGAACATCTTCCAAGGACACAATAGAATCTAGAACATCTTCCAAGGACACAATAGAATCTAGAACATATTCTGCAGTCCTGGTACAATAAACGAAATCTTCCTTAGTCGCGTCAAAATCGCTATCTTGCTTAGTCACAGTGTAATTGTAAATGTCTTTCTTTAGTGGTCACAGTAACATCTAGAACATCTGCAGTCATAGCAAAATTGTAACAGCCCACAGAATCGTTGCAAATAATCATTTTTCCGTTTGCAAAATAAAAGCTCGCTCAACTCGGTCCGGGCTATCTGCTGGCCTCAACCCGAAAATATCAGGGACCCGCAGACGCTTAATGACACTAATTCAGAATCCAAAAGTCAATGAGTTATGGCACTTCTGGAGTACAGTATTTGGGATGGAAGATTCACACTACCACTACCACACTATGGTATTGTAGTTTTTTTGTGGGAAATAAACTCAATTTATTCATTCAATCTCGTTATACGAGACGAGATTACTTTTTGGCCGAGATTTTTATCGAGACGAGAATAAAAAAAAAAAAAAAAAAATTAAAAACGCCTGCAGAAAGTCAATGCAATACCCGCAATACAGGAGCGTGTTGTGGTTGCGTTTCCTTTTCGAAGGTGTTCTTATTTAATTAATTCTTTTAATGTAAATATTACTTTAATTCTTTTAATGTAAATATTACTTTCATTATTTTAATAATATTACTTTAATAACATTTGAGAAGTTTTGTTAAGTGTAAGCAGTGTGAGGAATGTTTTATTACTATAAAAAAAGTCAAAACAAGTAACTATTTTATAAAAATTAATATTGCTTTTATTTTATGATTTATTTTATTTTAGGATAAGTTGAACTCTATCCTAACTGATATCACCATGTTTCCTAATTGTAGGCATTTTTAATAAGTTAGGCGTGATTAATAAAAAAATGTTATGCTGATGTTATTTAATGAAAGATTGTAAATATTCTTGCCTATTATCATTATTAGCGAATTTCCCTATAGGGAAGTAGCTATTACCGTAGGTCTCATGGTAAGACTTAGGCCCGGGACCGATTTACTTTTTCATTTTAATGTCCCCAGAGGCCAAAAACACCATTCGTTCAAATTTTTATATATGTATATATATATAGGTATATATATATATAGATTTATATATATATATATATATATGTGTCCGTGAACACGATAACTTGAGTAATTTTTATCCGATTTTGATGAAATTTGGTTTGAAGGTGTAAGGCGGGATAAACTTGAATGAGTTCGCGATCCAGCATGATCGAACCATGGGAACATGGTTTTATGGGGGGTTTTATGGGGTAAAATTTGGTTTTTCTCACTTTTTACCCTCAAAACACAAAATTTCCCAATTTTTCTCTAAACCTTCTTAAAGAGCTTAAAAAAACAAACAATTCAGTATATCAAAGTGTTTTTGTACGGTTATTGGTTACGGAGAAAACTAAAAAAATTGTAAATTTAAAATTCTCACGTTATTCTTATGGAGAATATTGTAAAATGTTGTAGTTTGCTTGTTTATGGATATATTTTGATCAAACTTGGCAAATTTATTTATTTTTTAGTAAGCTATCAATATTTTACTAAAAACACACTACTTTATTAGTTTCCTTGTAGCAGCAAACCTAGGTACTCGTTAAACCTAATGTTATTTAAATAGATCAATTGAAAATCAATTCGGCCAAATAGAAATTCGCTTAGACGGCAGGTTTGCTGCGGCGGGGGTATTTTAGTATTTAAACAGTCATCTAACAATGTTACAAAATCAGGTAAAAATTTCGAACGTGCATTTCCCGTTGTGTATGAGAAGAGAAATCTCGTCTCGATCTCGTCTCGAAATTTTATGAGAAATAAAAAATCTCGTCTCGTCTCGTCTCGAACTAAAAATCCAATCTCGTCCATCCCTAATATTTACTTAACGGTACTTTACCTCACACTTGTGGTTCCGGGTGGTTTCGTGTCGTTTCATATGTGTGTTGAGACTGTTTATGTTCTTAAACAACTTCTGACACACCTTACACTGCACTTGCTCCTCTGATTCATGCTGGAACCTGCAGACAGAACCAGTTTGTACTGTTCTACAGTATGTGATCAGACATGGTTGCTGTGATGTGGGTGTGATATAGTGTAGAGTGACGTACTAACGTGTGAAATCACTCTATGTTGGCAATGATTACTAGAATACTTGATACCAACATCTAAATTATTAAAATAATTTGATGGATTTTTTAAATTCACCAAATCGCCACATAAATATTTATTTTTATTGGCATACTGGATATAAATTTAAAGCTCTTATCCTCTAGATGTGCCTTTTGCGGGATGGAATGATATTCCGTGAAAGCCCTTTGCTATAGGCTTTAAAAGTTTGAGCTGAATTCTGTTGTCAATTATCTGAACTTTTTCAAGTTTACATTTGTTTACTACATCCATACGAAAATGGGGTTATCATTACAGTTTGTGATGTTTTAGTGAATTCAAGTAAAATATTGTAATATTATTATGCATAAAATGTAAAGAAGAAAGTTACTTACGCTAGATTTTGTGTTTTGATAGGATTTTTCCTTAAGGGGGGTCTACACGCAAGGATTTCGCAAACGTTTTATCTGTGCAGGTAAAACGTTGGAGTCAAGTCGTTGCAAAGAAATGCGTCCACACCGTACAGGTTTCAGAAACAGCTTCTTCTTCTTTTAGTGTAGTTTTGTGATAACTTTCAGTGTATGTGCATGTGAGTTATGAGCGAGGTGAATAAAAACTAGAGAACTCTCCCACTTGTATTATTTTGAGTGAACACTTGTCAGCAAGTGAATAAAGGAAGAGTTCACTTCCACTACAAGGGAACCCTTTTCTGACACAAGACAACTCTTAAAAACATGTGAATAAAGAAAAAGCAAACACTTGTCTAGAAAGAGAACACTCGATTTACAAGTCAGGGTCAACCCACACTTGTAACTGTTCACTTGCCTAAAATGGCTGCTTTCATGCATATTCGTGAACGAAAACAATATGGGATTAGAAGAAGTATAAGCTCTAACAAGTGCAAACAATTACTCAGATTTGAAGATGCAATAAAAAACAAACTTTAAACAAACATATGCTTATTAACAATTATTGTTAAATACACAGAGCAATAAATAAACTTATAACTTAGTAGGCCTGTGTAATTTGTTCATGAATATCCTAAATCTGATTATTTATTTATTTATTATTTGTTCATACCAACGGTCAAACCAATACATAAATATGACAAAGCATTATGACTTAATTTAAAAATAGACATTTTTGAAACAAATTAAGCCAACTTGAAGTAATCAATACGATGCCATATTAAAAACAAACCATATTAAATTATTTAATATATATATTATACATATACAATGCATAATACATATATACATATATTACATACATAATACATAATACATATATAATATATACATAATACATAATACATTATATACATAATACATATATTATTATTTAATGTTTGTTCTGATTACTTTGGCCGCAGAATTAAGCTGCTTCAAACATTTAAATTGCCCAAGTTAAATTTTTTGTTTTTATTATGAAAAACGAGTGTTCTCTTTAAAAAGCAAGTGTTCTCTACAAGTGATCACTTGCCGGCGCAAGAGGGAACCCTCCGTACCACAAGACAACTCTCGCAAGCGAACTCTTGTGTTTATTCACATGTTATTTAAGAGTAGACTAGACTTGCTTAGTGAACACTCTCAAGTTATTACTTGTTTTTATTCACCTCACTCAATATCATGGAAGATGTGTTAACTGTGGTCAATTTCTGCTGCCAGTGTATTTCTGCAGAAAGCAAAGATATAAGTCTGAGCGACGACGGCGCTCACTATGGTCAAGACCTTGGTTACTAAAAAGACAACCAATTCCATAATAGTTTCTCTATTCACGTTCGAATTTACTGCTTTGTATTTTTCAAAAGTCTCTTAAGTCTTTTTCTTATAACAGTCAATATGTTCCTTACTCTTAACCCTCCATAAATAAGGAAAACTTCGATGAACAGTTTGATGAATTCAACAATAAAATCACGGGAACATTGGTGAAGATCTGCGATCGTAATTAAAAAACACAGTTGTACCTCTGACAGCACGTGAAGACAACACTGCATACTGGGATTTTCAGCGTGAAGACGGAGTTGAAACAGATGACAGTGTACACACGCAACAATTTGTCTGAAAACGTTGTCAAAACTATGCTCTCTGCAATAGTTTTATCGCTCCGTCTTCCGTCTCTGCGCAGTTCTCAAAAATGCACAGTTTTGCGGTACACACGCAACGATTTGACTGCAACGATTTACTTGCGCAGGTAAAATGTACGGTAAATCCTTGTGTGTAGACCCGCCTTTAGCCATGGACAATCCAATAAATCTGCCTTTTTTGAACTCGGACTAATAAATGAAGTTTGTAGTTTTTGTCATGTTTCATATTTTAGATGTGAATAAACAGCTACAGGAGTTATTAGCAAATGATTTCATATCGTATTGGAAAAACTAATTACAAAGTTATGTTTAGGATTTGCAATTACAAGTCAGTGATAAGTTCACGTAAAAAATTGATAATTTTCAAATTGAGCAATAGAAAATTGTAAATTAATTCAAATATATCATGGATACAGTCACAAATTGACACTGGCTGCTAGTTAATTTAAAACAACAGATGGTAAACATGAACCAGATCAAACTGGCGCTTAGAAAAAGGGAAAGTTCTAACGAGGCCTCACAATTTATGAAAAATTTAAGTCAACAATTTGCCTGACCAAACATTTTTCCAAGGTTGGCGCTCAGTAAAGCTGACATGTTTGTACTATAACAATAGTCAATCTAATACAAAATTTAATTCCTCCAGCTAATGACCTAATATCGGGGGAAATAGTGAAAAATTCTTAAACCCTAGTTCAAACAAAGATGTTCTATTGGGCTGTCAGTCCTCACCTAACATGATCGTAGAACATATTCTCATCTGTGAAGGTGCGCAGACACTCTTCACACCTCATACTTGTGTCTGCGGACTGGTGGATTTGCAGATGAAACACATACCTCGCCCTGGTGGGGAACCCCTTGTCACAATCGCGGCAGTACAGCTCATCTGACGCCACCTGTAGTAAATAGGAGAAGTTGCACATGATTGGCCTGCTTTACTTAAGTTATCAGTTAAGTATAATAAAAAAAGAGTTTAAGATTCAGTATCACCATTCAATTAGTTTATAATTTAGGCTACAATTTTATATTAAATACAAATAAAAAAAAGAATCTTAACATCTCCCCCAGTTGTGCAGGAGATGATCAGGATTTTTCCTTGATCACAGTTCACAGCTTCTTCCTTCTTTGATAACGATTATTATTACTGTAGTTACAGGTTTTAAAAATTGTTACTCTAAGCGATTGAAAAAAATAAATAGAGTACAGACATCGGAGTTCTACTGCAATTGATTTTGCTTAAACAGTGTTTAATTAAGTTAGATTGACTTAAAAATGTATGGAAACATTAGTTTGGTATAAGATCTTACATCACCTGATCATACGTTTAAATCTTCTCTATTGGAGTCTACCTCTTACACAAATGAAGAGAACCTTGAACATATGTTTTGGAAGAAGAAACTAAATTGTGATTTATTATGGTTCCCCACCAGGACGATGTACAGGTTCCAATTACACCCCGTCGGACACACAAAATCAACTCTGTACTCACATTGCAAGTGTGTTTGATGCGGTGGTACTGAGAGCGGAAGTTGTTTCCACATACACAGCAGTTGTAGAACGAGGGAACTGTGAATGTATCAGTAGAACAATGAGATTCCATGAAGTGGCTGAAATATTCCTCATCGGAGCCGAGCTCGGAGTTACACACGGGACACATCTGTAGCTCGGTGATGTGAGTCTCGAAGCAGTGTTTCTCACCGTCTCCCTCCGACTGGAACACTGAAACAGTATTTTTAGGTTAGGTAATTCTTGTTTTGAATATTTTGGGGAAGAGTTTTGCTAGATTTCCTGAGACAATTCCAGGGGTTTATAGATTGACTATAAAGGTCACATAACATTACGCTGATATTTAATCTTAGACCTCTTCAGAGAGTAGATAGCTCTAAAGTTATTTAAGTAATTGGTGTTATTTTAGTAGGTAGCGTAGCAGACTATGGACTTAAGGCAGCGATGTCGTTGGTTCGTATCCTGGTCACTGCCACTACTTTTTCTCAGCTCAGCATTGTACTGTCTCACTCTTGCTGGATACGTTCCACGCACAGATCTGTAGTCCATGTGGACAGGGAAATGCAAGGTTAAAGAGGCCTTGAAAAAATAACAGACAACACAATAAAACGCCGAATACAACATTGAGGCTCTGAATTTAGTGGTCATTTTGCTAGTATTGTAAAAAATGTTTCAGTTTAAAGAACACATTTTGTTATCCAGCATTTATAATGATCCAGAATGGCCGCAGTCCCACACCAGCCGGATTATCGAGCGTCTCCTGTAGTAAGGTATCATAGAGATGAATAGATTTTAACTGGAGTCACCCCTCTGTGTTTAAAAAAGTGTGCCACTGTTAATGCAGTTTTTATCAGTTTTTTTGTGTTGTTATGTTGGCTATATGATTTGGTTGCTTGGATTGCTGTAAATTCGGTCCAATCAGATGGGGTTATTTTTGACAAGTCCAACCAGCCGAGACAGTGTGACCAACAAAACACTTGGATGGCACGTTTTTTTTTAATGTTCAACCCCCAGAGAGTAGTGACTCCAGTTAAAATCCATCCATCTCTAAGGCATCCATGGACTTTTTTACGATTCTCAGTTTATTGGTTAGTCTTAGAGCACCTAGTGGTTGACACCCTGCTGGTCATTTAAATGTAGGTTTACCGAGAGTAATCTACTAAACTGTACTTAAAAAGAATTATCCAGAACAATGTTTTAAACATTTTTTTAAGGGTTCAAGTGCTTACCCATAGTACATACTGGACAAGTAAACACGTTTGGCTCCGTCGTATCCTGATGCTCTTGAAAGACATGCCTCGTAAGATCTTCAGCGTTGTTGTTGACTGTTAAGTTACACAGAGGACAGCGGAACCCCACAAACGTGGGGTGATTTGTACTGACATGTTTGTTGAAGGAGCTGACATTACTAAACTCAGCCCCGCACACACAACGTATCACAAGTAACTGGAAATAAAGTAAGTTATATGGTTTAATAACATTTTATAAATTACTTAGACCATACCATAATGCACAATCAAAAAAAATATAATAAAATAAACTTCACACAATATTTTTAAATCAAACACAACAGTTTAGTATATTTTAAACTAGCTGGCCCGACAGACGTCGTCCTGTCCTAGTGTGGATTTATGTAAAATGCTCGTTCATTTTCAAGATGAGTTCGTTCGCATGGCTCAATCATGTCCTGGTTAAAGTTCGTTCGCTACGCTCACTCACCATTTGGTTGCTAATTAGCTGTTGAAGTTCGTTCGCTACGCTCACTCACCTTTAGGTTGGAGCTCGTTCGCTGCGCTCACTTGCCTTCAGGTTAGCTCGTTCGCTACGCTAACTCGCCTCCAGGTTGAAGTTCGTTCGCTACGCTCACTCACCTTTTGGTTGCAAGTTAGCTGTTATCATAAATTAAAAAAATATAGAGCTGCACCCTGTTGGTAAACCTATTAACTTTTTAATGCTATTGAACATCACAGAATCAGATAGTTTAGTTGAACCAGCTGTTAAGATTCTTTAATTCCATTTAAATATGAGTACTCATAAGGTTAACATGGGAAACTCCAGAGCCACTGGGGCGGAGCCCTTTTGACGGATCTGCACCAAACTTCACACAAACCATCCTTGAATAATTCTTAATAATGCCTGAAGGTTTCATTACAATCTGCCGAGCGGTTTCGGAGTCCATAAAGGACAAACATACAAATATACAAACATACAAATATACAAACATACATTGGATTTTATATATATAGATATAGAGTTAAAAAATAAAAACTTTTATTAATGTTTAAATTTTTATTTATTTTAGTGAAATTGAAAACTTACAGTAGAACGTGCTTGATTACAACTTACTTATTAAAAAAAAATGTTGTCTTGGTCCAATCGTATTAAAATATCATCAGTAACGGTAGTTTGAATATAATTTTGAATAGCTTAATTTTCCCAACTTCAAACCTGTTAATTCAAACGTTTTCTAATCCCTTGGTTCCTTAAACAAGCATAATCAATGCCAAAATATTAAGGGTAATTAAAATATAATTATGGATGGTTCAAATTTATACAACCCTTAGGCCTAATGTATGACAATTGGAGTTTAACAAGATTAATCACACCATCAAAACACCATATTATAGTGTTGCAATACAACCTTATACTGGGAACCACATAAACCAGTCAATGTAGTTGCCTTCTCCCCTACTGCCACACCAGGTAACATTAAAACAACTTAACTTTTAAAAATGTGATGACGTTTTTTCCTTGTGCCAGATGCCTCCCGGCCCACTCCCTACCTGAGAACCCCTTTTAAGTTTAATATTGTTCATACTGAGCCTCTACACATTGAATGAGCACTGTTGTTATTTTCCAGCTTTGATTTTTTTGTGACTTTAAAAAATCTGTTTTTAAAATCTTGTGTATACATCAACATTTAGAGCAAAATGTTACATGAGGTTATGTAACCCCATACACAGTAAATGATTTTTTTCAACTCAATACTATAAGTAAAACTTTAAAAGCTGTAAGCACATCTGAATGGTAAAGAGACCAAACTGGCACAAGAAACACAAAACTGCACAAATACCGGTACACAAAACATCGAGGAAGAGTGAGTTTGCAGACTTAATGGTAGCCAGCCTGATCTATCCTCACTTAAAATCTTAAAAACCTAGCCCCTTAATGTTACATCTTTAACTTAAAAAGCTGTAAGTTAGTAAAATTAAAATATTTGTTTATAGTTTTACCAGGAAAATACCCCAAGGCGTCTACTTAACATATATTGCAGAGCACATTGTCATACAGCGAGGACTACCTGTAAAGATTAAATTTTAAACCAAGCTAAACCAAAATTAATCACCTCTCTCTTATCATTGTGAGAGTCTACATGGTTTCGTAACTCCTGCTCGCTGGTCGTGATACTCTGGCAAAGCGGACAGGGAAATGTCTCGTTCATACTGTCACAATGGGCACTAAGAGCATGTGACAGAGCTTCGTCAAAGCTGTTGAAACTGGAAAATCACAACAAGGGTTAGTTGTTTAACCTTACAAAACACTAAAGATTAGTGGTTGAAACTGGCAAAACAATAAAGGTTAGTCGTTGTAACTGACAATACACTAAAGGTTACTTTTTGAGCCTGACAAAAACTCTAAAGTTTAGCCTTTGACTCTAAGAAATCACTCAAGGTTAAGTCATTGAACCTGACAAAACACAAAAGGTTAGTCATTGAACCTGGCAAAACACAAAAGGTTAGTCATTGAACCTGACAAAACACAAATGGTTAGTCATTGAACCTGGCAAAACACAAAAGGTTAGTCATTGAACCTGACAAAACACTAAAGTTTAGCCTTTAACTCTAACAAAACACTCAAGGTTAAGTCATTGAACCAGACAAAACACTGAAGGTTAGTTATTGAAACTGACAAAACACTAAAGGTTGGTAATTGAACCTGACAAAACACAAAAGGTTAGTCATTGAACCTGGCAAAACACAAAAGGTTAGTCATTAAACCTGACAAAACACTGAAGTTTAGCCATTGAACCTGACTAAACACTAAAAGCTAGTCATTGAACCTGACAAAACACTAAAGGTTACTTTTTGAGCCTGACAAAACACTTAAAATATTCATAAAAGACTCTTACTTGGAATGACAAATGAAGCAGTCCATATTCTTCAGTTTTGAGCTCCTGATCCTTGAACCTCCTCTACGACCTCTACTGAATGTTGTAGCTCGTCTCTTTCTCATTGGCTCGTGTTCTGTCGAGCTCCAGTCTTCATCCTGCAAAAAACAGGGTTAATCATAAAATTTATAAATATAAAGCTGTGGAGAGTAATCAATACAGCTTTAATGAAATCAATATTGTTTTATCCATTCAAAAACTTAAGCTTCCGGCATTTTGACACCCGCCAGGAAGAGGTGAAAAATTAGCTAAATTATTATTTAATGCTGTATACCTTAGATTTAACAATGCTGACCTTCATATCCAAAGAAAGCCAGGTTGATCCAGAGAGAGTATATTACAAACCTGATTGCTATTTAGTCATTGGCGATAGGCCCAATAATTAATTACGCTTTCTAACTTGTAGACACTAAATATGACAAGACAAATATTTTTTTTAGTTGAATAGCTGAGTGGATATACCAAGCACAGCCGCTTCCAGAGGTGCAAAAGATTTTAGGTTCGTTGGGGGTGCACGGAAAGGTGGGGGGCGCAAATATCTATCTATAGGGCCTGACACCAACTGATCAAAGGGTTGCCGATAAAAAAAGTTACAAGGTTTTTCTAAAGGTTTGAAACAGGACCCAGCAGTCATAATCATTGTGCACTTAATAAACAGTTTCCTGGTAAAAAAAAAATAATAAAAACAGCTGATCCTAAAGATACAAATTAATTTTAGGGAAATATTTTGAAATCCTGTAACACCTACGACCCAGCCAACTGAGCATCAGACACTCCTACACTTACCGTCCTTGGTACATTGCAAAGGCAAAACTAACCATTTCACCCTGCTGTGATCTTCCCCGTTTCCTACTCGGTAGAACATTTGATGAAACTGAAGAATTGACATGTGTTTTCTCCAACTGGACATTACTCGAACTTGGTTCTGTTTTTATATAGATTGTTTCAGTATGATGGTATTCATCTGATGAATCATCTACATTTGTTTCTGAAGGAACAGCTGTCATACAGCCTTCACAGCATAACGGACAATTCATGCTTTCAGCGTCGGAGCTGGAAAATTACATGTAAATCTTAATGTTACAAAACAAATAAGTTACACAATATTTAAAACATTACAAAATGGAGAAATTGTAACAGCTACTTAGCTCAATAAGTTTTAGCCAACGGTATTTTGAAACGTGTAGACTGAAGAATAATATCCCTGAGGAACAAATTTGTATTCAGGCCTAATCTATTGCTCAGTTAGTTTTTAAAAAAACATGGCCTATTTTTTGTGTGTAAATAAATATCAATCATTAGGCATGTAATGGGGATATTTTATTTTATTACCTAAAGGGAAATTACATTTATTGTTTTTATGGTTTTGCAAATGCTATAACAGTTTATACATATAGCCCTCAGTTATTTGGTAAATTTGTAGGACAATTTCAAACAAACGGGTGGAGTTATTACTTTGATTAGTTCCTGATGTGATATGCAATGAATAATAGAGGATTCAGGCATTGAGCCAGTAAAATAAAATAACTAAATGGTCAAGCATTGTTAAGCTGAATCTTGTGAGATGAGACATAAAATCTCAACTCCTAAACCAGAAAATTGCTCATCCTGTTTGTGTGGTGGAATACAATTTAATCTTTATTAAAATAATAAATTTTAAGGTGCCACTAAAATATTTAAGCGACTATTTTTTACGCCTTAAAAATTCAAGAGATTTGACACATATAAACTGAATAAATATCCCTGAGTCAACTTTTGTTCCAATTTTTTTTTGTCATTTTAGTAAAGTCATTTACCTAAGTAAAAGAACAAATTTGTGAGTACTTACCAAAACTGTAAATGCCTGAGCTTTTCCTCAGCAGTAGTAACACAAAGAGAAAACAAATAACTTGTTTCCAAATTAATCATACACTCTGAGCAAATTTGCTTCGGCAGGCTATCCTCTAAACTGACCTAGAAACAGGGCACTTGATAGAAAATTGATTAAAATACTATTTTTAATTGCCTTGACAAATAAACCATAACTTACAATTGCCAAGTGTTATTCTCGTATCACGTTGCATAACATAATACGAAGAACTAATTGCCGCTAATACGATTCAAACGTAAATTCTTCACTCATTGCCAAAAATAGGTTGTTTATTAAACTAACAAGCTTACACCATCTGATATGAAATTGAGATACAATCCTAAATAGAAACCTGGACAGAGAGAAAAAATGTGTCATTTTTTATCCATGTGCACCCCATGTGTTTTATAGTGTTGGAAACAGCAGAAAAGCCTCTGCCCTGTATAAATAAATGATTTTTCATTCATTTCATTTCAAAAGCCTGCACGGATAGGGGCAACTACCGCTTTTGAGGTGCCAATAAAGGCCTTAGATTGGAGGATGCTTTCTTGGAAAATCTCAGAGAAAAGAAAAGGAAAATAAGTTGGATAAATCTACTAGGGTGTAGGCAAGTCAAGGACTGCAGCGGAGTAGGAGTGGTGCTCTAAGTAAACTTAGTAGGAATGAAATAATTATTGGTTTGAGTACAGATAATTTTAGATCAACACTAACAGATAAATTATGTGTACAGACATTTTACACGAGAGACATACTAGTAGGCCTATAATTTGGACATTTAAGATGCTCCTAGGATAATCCGACTTTTCACTGTTCCTCAACAGTTTTGGTCCCTTGGGTGACGGATCTTTGAGGTTATACTGTACACAAATAGGCTAAAAAAGAAATTGTAGCCTATATCATGAGATTTAGGTAGGTGGACCATCTTTACTATCACAATGTTTTTACTCACAGTTATAGGCAGACAGGCATTTATTTTATCAACAATCATCGTTTCATCTTTATGTACGATCTCGTGTAGATAAGTAATCTCTTCGTCATTAATCCCTTGACCGCACAGTCTGCAGACCGGCAATGGTCCAGTGTGAGCTACATCTGCAACAAGGGATCAAATATTAATTACAGTATGTAACAATTAAAATACATTGAAATAAAAAATATTATAAACTGTGTTGCTACTTAGTTTTGAATAGGCCTAGGCCTAATGAAGGTTCTAGAGAATTCCCAAAAATGATAACCAATATGAGAGCAATCCCCTCTCACTTATCTCTGGAAAAAAACTTTAGCCTAAAACTTTAAAAAAATTTTACTATTATAGTATAAATTATACTAAATAAAGTATAAATTCGGATTCAAACTGAATTTTGCTCTCAGCTGTGCAGCAAACTTGTGCAAATGGAGAGTAGTTATGTTGGGTCTGTTTTAGCCTAATAGTTAGCATCTTTGACTTTAGTGCGGAAAAGATAGGTTCGATTCCCAGCACATCTGCAACACATGGGTTTGGACCGCTTTCCCTAAAAGTGTTTGAGTATTTTTCCTCCTCTAATTCCTCAAGTAAAAATGCCACCAACGTAGATAGCAAGAAAAAAAAAATAAAGGAGAGGGATAAAGGCCTAAACTTAAATTAGGTTCCCATTCTATAGTATACCTTAATTTGTACAAATTAAGAAGTGAAAAGAACAGAATGATTTGATAAATCAATAATTTATTTAACAAACATAGAAAGTAAACATAGAGAGAATGTTAGTTTGTTGGTACTGTGTGATGTAGGCCTATTTTGAATTGATCATCTGGTTTACAATTTCCCTGCGACAATAAAAAATTGCGAGAGTTAACAAGCAATTTCATTATAAAGTTAAAATATATTAAATGGTTTCATAGTTTGTTTCATTGTTATTTGCAATATGTATAAATGGTTTCATTTGAAAAAAATTTTTGGTAAAAAAGTTAGTTACGAATTTTAACTGGACAAGGCATAGATAATTTAAAACACAATATAAATTTGATCACATAATGAGCTGCCTGCATCATGTAGCCATCTTCCATGTAAAATCCAGCCAATGGCTTGTGTGTGAATCTTCATAATACAAAATGTTCTCCAATTAATTATATGGGTAAAATATTCTCAAAATAAAAATCAGTAACAAAATTGCAGCCAGTTTTATGAATGTGAAATAAATAGGACGAGTTTGAACTTTGGTAAATTGTAAATTAGTGAAAAAATGTTTTCAGAAAAGCAGGAATAAGCTTAGTTCTACTGCTTGGGGGAGCGAGCTGGTCTAGTGGTTAGAGCGCAGGACTTCAGTCCATGAGGTCCTAGGTGCAAATCCCACCAAATCGCAAATGGATTTCACCTAAGTGATAATGCCTCAACCCCTATGTCTAGCCTGAAGTAATGTGAAAAACAATCCCAGGCTTGTTCCCAGCGTCATGGGACAAAAAAAAAGCTACTACTGGCATTAGACCAAGTTATCACCTCTTGTCCCCACCATTTTTGCATCTTGTGCTCATGCACACACCAGTTTTGGCAACGTGAACATAGCCTAAAAACGTTAAAATAAACTACAATATAATTTATAAGTTAAATAGAAATTTAGCCTACCAACGTAAACACAACCTAAATTATCGGTTTCTATAACAAAATTATTTGTAGCCTACTTTGAATTGAGTGTATATTAATTCTTACCCTTGGATAACTCTGTGTTAGTTTTTGGCGATAATCTATCAGTATCATCAAAATTATATTCCAATCCTTGCACTTCTCTGCTTGATTGGGAACTTTGTGATTCTTTTAAATCCAAATGTTGTAGGGATACATCACTTAAATCTTTTATTTCTTCATCCGGCTTGGAAATGAAGTATTCTGATGTGTCTGATCCATCATATATGAATTTAAAATCAGATTCTTGTTTGTTTTCTAGCTCAAAATAATCCATATCTTGACTAGGTCTATGTTCTTAACATGCAATGAGGCAAGTTTGCTATCGTAGACTGACTCTGGATCTGAAACAAAAGGCACTCGGTTTAGTAATCTCGGCCTAGTGTAAATTCTGTGTAGTACAGTAGCTTACGCAACGATCACGTAAAGATAGTCTTTACGTCAAGAGTAGAAATTTTAGGCACTCCTTAAGAACTTCTACCAGTCTCGTAAAGATTATTTGAGTTGCGTAACTTACAATACTTTACCTAATTACCACCACTTTTTAGTTAGAAACAATCACTTAAGTTTCTCTACTTCTAAGAGAGGTGTTATATGTTTCTGTTTATTTATATCCTCTCATCGCCACTCATAAACAATTTTATTTGTTTACCAGCTGATAAATTGACGTTCAAATCATAACAATTTAACTTCTCTTCCCTCAATCCTTGACCCTCATTGGTCTCAATGGTCTGTCACTAGGCCTAAGTTAAGTTAGTGTTGTAAAGTAAAAAAACAATGCTGTTAAGTGAATCTGTCCAATACCTAAGAACTAAAATTAGGCCAGTTAAAAAACTGATTTTTTTAATTTGAGAATTTTTGTAGGCTTTAAGATAAACTTAAGTTAACTTACGGTAAGTTTTATGGACTGTGAATTTCAACATTATGGGAACACTTCCTTAGTGAACTTTCAATTCTAGGTTACCTACCTGTTAGGCTAAAGATTAAGTTACTAAATTGGTTTAACTTATACCAGACCAAAAACCTTTAAGTACAAATAATTACCAACTGTGTTCAGAAGGTCTAACAATGTAGGCTTAAGTTATAAGTTATGTAGCCTATTTAAAATTTCTAAAAATTGTGTTTAATTTTTTTTTATTAAAGTTTTTTAACTGTGCAATGAAAATATAAATATAGGCCTACCGGTAACTTAAATTGGGCTATAACTTAATTTAACTTAAATAGCCTACCTTTTATACTATTGATAAGTTTACAACTATAGACATTCCATCCCAATGTTAAACCTTAGGAATCGAATACAGGTGGTTGCAATTGATGGGGCTCTTTCGGGAGAACGCATGGTGGAACACGGTGACCCGCAGGGCTCGCTACTTGGACCTCTCCTGTTCCTGCTAATGGTGAACGACTTTAAGTGTGGTGACGAGGCTCTCATGAATGCGGACGATACTACCCTTGTATTAGGTGGAAGCTCGGTGACGAAAATTGAGAGAAAGATGGCCTTGGAGCTGACCTCTGCCGAGAAATGGTTTAAGACCAATAGACAACTAAATGTCAATTCAGCTAAATGTCAACAAGACCCGAACACTCATCTGCGCCTTGGGTAGAACTCCGCCTGCGAACATCGTACTTCAAGTAAAACTTCTTGGATTTTTGATTGATAGGCGGCTTAACTGGCAGAGCCATACGGAAGAGATGTCAAAAAAGCTCTCTAGGGTAGTATCTCTACTTGGCAAATTGAAGAACAGCCTGACTGAATCTTATCTCTTGACCATCTAAGTACTACGGCCTTTTCCACAGTCATTTGAGTTACAGCATACTGCTCTGGGGCCACTCCCCAAGCTGTAAGGCAGTGCTGAGGTTACAGAAGGCGGCCATGCGAGTCATCACTTCTAGTGACCGGCGTGAGCACAACAAACCCATCTTCAGGAGATTAGGCGTGCCTACAGTCCACTCGATGTATATCTTATCCTCATTGGTACATGTCAAGAAGAACTTGAACGAGCTTACAACCAGAGGCGATGTCCACTACCACGCTACATGTGGCTCTACCAAGTTAGATATACAGAGAACAAGCCTAACAAGCACACAACGCCGTTTCCCTGCCATGGCATTGAAGCTGTTTAACAAGCTGCCAGAGAACTTGAGAAACCTTGAGACCAAGAAGTTTGAGAGAAAAATGAAAGAAAAAACTTACTCAGTCGGCCTATTTCTCCATCAAGGATCTCCTTGAGGATAATCTAGCGAGTAACTGACTCAAAACCCTACTTCACCCGCCAAGTTTGTGGGTATTAAGGTATTTATCAACACAGAACAAAATATAATAATGCAAGATAGGCCAAGGCATGATCAGCAAAATCAAACGTAAGTTAGGTACCTAATTAGGCCTGTTAATGAATGTTAAATGCAATGTAATAAAATGTAATGTAGGCCTAGGCCTAATAAATAAAACGTGTTGATAATAAATGTGGAGTTACCTACAAAAAGCCTCTTAAATTTGCAATGGTCAAGATTTGTTATTTCGAGGTTAAGGTTAAAAAACCTACTGTCTGTTGTGCCAAAAGCAAAAGTGGAAGGTGGAAGTAGACCTACTAATATGTTGTGGAGTGTTGGGCTGGCTTCTTTAAAATTAATTGAGCCCAATTAAATGACAAAACAGATTAGGTAGGCCCATCTATATAATATAAACACGGTGTTTGTTTATATCGATGGGTTGGCCTATACCAACTTGTTCATGGTGGATAGAATTGTAAATTATAGAACTAGAACATACACAAGAGATCATACTTCAATCTGTCTGTGTCTACTTGTTTTTTGTTTATTATTAACTTACATCCTAAACTTAGTCATTCCTCTATCTAACACGCTCTAACACCGCAAAGGGCCCACCGAATGTCGTGCAACGTGCAATATCAATATTAAACATATAAGCGACACCGTTACACTTTTTAAGCGACACCGTTACACTTTTGCTACACCAGCAAAACCGATATTTCTGGAATTGACACCATCGGTCCTTATCTAAATTCCAGAGGTTGCCACTAAAAAGTGTCAAACAGGATTAAAATGTCAAACTTCCCGCTAAAGAGGGTAAACCAAGATTTTCATTTTGGATTATAATATTAGCCACTTCATCAACGTTATTTATGTTGACCGTCGCACTTTGTATCATGTTAAACCTAATAAAAAATATGCATTGAATAGAATTTGTGTTGGTTAGAAAAAGTAAGATACAATCAACATAAAAATTTATGTTTAAAGATTAAATTTTAATTCGTCATTATTATTGTAAGATTGTGCTTTATCAATTAAAGCCAGTTAAGTTTAGCAAAAATGTACCCACCTCCAGTACGCAATCCAAAGGCATCAGCTCAGCTCACCACAGCAACAGCAGCAACAAAAACAAAGCAGAAAGCAAAGCACAGAAAGCACTGAAAGCAGCACTGCGACAGCGACACTAGTGACAGCCGACAGAAACAAAACGTCAGAAATCAGAAACAGCAAACGAGCTAACAGCCGAAACTAGGTGGACATAATCTTTCATACGTTTTAACGTTTTTATTAGCTCGCTTTCTTGTCCGGTGCAAATTTTGCAATCAATTTTATACTAACTTCCCGATGAGCTGGAGACTTTAAATTTGAAACAAATTGTTTCAAACAAACATGTTGTTTCAGGAGTCCCACAAGGGTCCATTTTGGGCCCTTATCTGTATAATATCTATGTTAGTAATTTTCCTGCTATCAATAAGGTTGAAATTAGTATGTATGCTGACGACACGTCAGGTGTATGCTGGGCTCAGTCTTTTGATGAACTCAAGCAGGGCATGGCCGAATTTGTACATAAAGCCAGCTCATATTTTGAAAATATTAATTTCAAAGTCAACCTAGATAAGACAGAAATTGTAGTTTTCGGATTGAGTAGTACGGGCATTCCTCTGATAGATTTAGTTCAGGATGATGTGATCTTTGAAAGTAAAGAGTGCTGTAAGTTTTTGGGACTATATATAGATCAGACCTTAACTTTTAAGAATCATATATCTCATGTAATAAGATCTAGACTTTTAAGTGGAATCAGCCTCCTCAGAAGAATATCTTTTTATTTAGATACAGATACGTTAACAAGAATTTATTTTGGTGTCATATTTCCTTTCTTGTCTTATGGCCTTATTTTCTGGGGAAGTTCTCCCGACTGTAATTTACATACAATTTTTGTTCTCCAGAAAAGAGCAATCAGACTGATAGCCAAAGTATGCGGTACAAAAGGTCTTGTAAAGATATTTTTGTTAATTTAAATCTCCTCGCTTTGTATGGACTATAGGCCTACATTTATCAATTAATTATGCTTGTGAAAAATGATGTAAAGCACACAAATAAAAATAGTCAAATCCACAGGTACGACACGAGACGAAAGGATGATTTTCACCGTGTGAGGAGGAATTTCAACAAAACTGGCCGAAGTCCTTTTGTTATGGGGTCAATTTATTTCAACCTCCTACCAAACAATATAAAGGAATTAGAAGGCACTAAATTCAAAATTGCTCTGAAGAATTGGCTAGTTAAAAAAAGACCGTATTCATCAAAAATTTCAGATCTAACCGATTCGGCATAACAATTTGGAAAACTACATTTTGAGTGATCTAAGTTGAGCCCAGGTTTGTACACTAAGAGGTAATATTGTTTTATATACATTGAAATTGTATTCTTTTTTCTTTTATTTTGACATTGGTGACTTTTTGTCTATGCATTGTATATATATGTTTATGGACAATAAATGATTTGATTTGATTTGAAACATAGCTCACAAATGGATGACGAAAATGCAATATAATATCATTTAATTTTCATATTTACCTTGGGCTAAGAGACTTGCACTACCTGTAATGACCTCATGAAGACAGCTCTAATAGCTGCTTAAATAGTATTTACTCATCGGGTCACTTTTACAACCAAAATGTCGTGTTAATTATTTTCAATAATGTTACCAACCATTATAATAAACCATATGCAACCATTATAAAGTGGGCCACGGTCCATAATATAGGCCACTGCAAATAATTTGTCAAGAGGTATCATTTTATAGGCAAGATTTCTGTGTTTATATGTTATTAGAAACGGTAAGAGCACAATAAAATTATATTCTGCAGATGAATTTTATGTTGGAGAAATATAAGCCGAATTATATGTCACAATGCGAGTTTGAGCATTTTATTTTGTAACTATATTACATGGGCAAGTTAGATAGATTTTTAGGCTGCTATGCTCATAGTGCACTTAAAGAATATATATTTTAGAGATATATAAAATGGTTTTTGTTGCTGAGTTGCAGTAGTAAACATGCACAACCCTTTTCCTTAGTCTAATAACATTCAAAGGCTCTGTAAGAGTTCAAGTTCTTATTTGTATAGGCTACATAGGTATCTATATTATGTTTTCACTAAGCTGAATGAATACCTACATCGAAACAGCCTCTCTGAAAAGTCTGCAGTATATTGCAGTTTTCCAGCCTAATGACTCTCTAAATCATGCACATATTTCTACACTAGCAGAGTACCCGTCCTTCGTACAGGGTTGGAATATAAGTATAAAATGCTTATTGCAGTAGTTATACTCAAGCTTTGGGTTTGCAATAAGGGAGGACACAGTTTGATAAAATTTGCTTTTATTTACAGTATTCTTTAGTATTACACATATATTATAGCCATAATGTTCTACCGCTTCACCTAAACAATAGAGAAAAATAAATTATCAACAATTCGCAAAATATCACAAATTATTCATGAAATGAAAAACATAAACATAACTGTAAACAATCCTACTTTGACAGTTCTCATTGCGAATCAGTTTTTTGTTGCTGCTTAGTTCAAATTAACTTAGCTGTTATCATAAATGAAAAAAAATATAGTGTTGCACCCTGTTGGTAAATCTTATAACTTTTTAATGCTTTTCCATATCATAGAACCAACTTCTTGCTGTTTTTTTAGTTGAAACAGCTGACTAAATACTTTCATTCCCTTTAAATATGAATACTCATAAGGTTCAACAAAATATGGACACGGCTCAAACGGGCACCGTGCCCTTCTTCACTTGTATTATTTTGTATTGTATAATAATATAATAATATTTGTATAATAATAAGATAAAATGTAGGGAAAAGGTGTGAAAAAGGCAAACACCCACCCGTAAAATCCTTATTTATAAATTCAAATTTATTTTAAAAATTGAAATCTTACTACACATTGTAGTCTGCTGTAGAACAAAGAATAATATTACATTAAATTTTGCAAGTTTGTTTAAACCTAATTATGATAATTGTTATATACAGTAGGTGGTTTCTTATAATATTAATAGATAAAATTCTCGTGTCACAGTGTTTGTCTGCAAACTCCTCCGGAACGACTTCACCGATCGTTATGAAATTTGGTGTGTAAATTCTGTAGGTATGCGAATCGGACGTAAACTATTTCCCGTTTCGAAATTCTTAAAAGGGCTCCACCCCAGTGGCTCTGGAGTTTCCCATGTTAACCTTATGAGAAATGGAATTAATGAATCTTAACAGCTGTTTCAATTAAACAAGTTGGTTCTGTTCTATGATGTTCAATAGCATTAAAGTTAAAAGGATTACCAACAGGGTGCAGCACTATTATTTCTTTTACATTTATGACAACAGTTAATTTGCAACCAAAAGGTGAGTGAGCGTAGCGAACGAACTTCAACCTGGAGGCGAGTGAGCGTAGCGAACGAGCTCCAACCCAAAGGTGAGTGAGCATAGCGAACGAACTTCAACCAGGACGTGATTGAGCGATGCGAACGAGAGAGGCGAGTGAGCGTAGCGAACGAGCTAACCTGAAGGCAAGTGAGCGCAGCGAACGAGCTCCAACCTAAAGGTGAGTGAGCGTAGCGAACGAGCTCCAACCCAAAGGTGAGTGAGCGTAGCGAACGAACTTCAACCAGGACGTGATTGAGCGATGCGAACGAGATCATCTTGAAAATTAAACGTAACGGTACTTTCTTTCCATCGGTCTGTCTTAGGGGAAACCTATAACTTAGGCGATACGAAGTTCGCCGGGTCAGCTAGTATTAATAGAAAATTTTATGGCTGTTAAAGATATTAAATATAGCACTTGATTTTCCAAATTGAATTTCTTCCAAAATTTCTCAACTTGTTGAGGAATTGTTCCTCTTGATCCAATGAGTAGTCCATATACTTCAAATTTTGATATTTTGTATTTCTCCGAATAATAGGGGATAGTTTTCTTATAAATATTTACTTTTTCTTCATGGACTTCCTATGGCTGATATTGATTTGTCTCAAGACGAACTGTTGGGTCTATAATGAGACCGAAATCTTTCTCCTTCTTGTCTATAACAATGATGTCACTCCGCCTCACAGAGCCCTCTTCTTCTATAGCCGTGACCTCTTCATAGACCTCATAACTTTTCTTTCTGAATTGATCAGCTATGATTTTTCTGATGGTATGGTGGCGGGTATTTCGCAGAAGACTACTAAATGGGCACTTTCCAAGGACGTGGGCAAGAGTTTCAAGAATAAATTTCTCAGATACAGGACAATGCCTGCACTGGTTCCCGTCCCTGGATCTCCTATGAAGACTTCTAAGAGGAATAACGTCTCCGACCATTTTTAAGTATTGTTTGAACTCAGCTTCTGTGAGGCCACAACCTCTAGCCAAATTTTTATTGATCTTGTTACATTCTTTGAAAAGAACCACCCCATTCCCTTTGTATGGAAGTTTACACCAATTTTGATACTCTAAGTCTCGTAAGATTTCTCGCAGTATCTTGGGTTTTGATTCGATAAATTCAATACTTAAATTCAATTTTTCCAGACAAAACCTAATTTCTTCATCAAATTGACGAATATTAAGTAAGTAGGGGTTTCCCGTTTGTTTTAATACGTGACATATGTTTATATGTTGGATTGAAGATTCCCACATTGATAACCCAATCCCTTTGTTTTTAGTACTTGTATAAAACATAGAATTTGGCATATCATTTGGAAGATCTAAGATTTCCTTTGTTGTTGATCTTATCACTTTATCAACGTCGTCAAAGAATTTCATTGTAATTTTCTTAATTGGTGCGGTTTGAAAAGGATATACAGTATTAAAGACTAGCAGACGACCCGTCCTTCGTCCGGGGTTGATGTATGAATGGTGTGTTTTGAAATCTGACATGAAAAAAGAGTAAAATAAGATTAAATCCCAATAAATGTACCTATCAAAAACTTTTAACTTACTAATTACATAAAAAACACATTTTCAAACAATAAAACAAATAAAAAAACTCAAAGCTTTTACCATTGACTATATAACACTAGTGTTATATAGTCAATGCTTTTACTTAGCCTACCTTTAAATGATAA